TGCCCTTCCCATGGGTTAGCATAGGTTTTAAAAGCATTTGGATAGGTAAGACACCTAAAAAATTAGCTAGCATTTGTTGCCCTTAACTCAGAGAAACTAAAGCAGATACCTTAAAAGCAACTGAGGCCAATAGGAGAAGGGGACCAGGAACTAGAGAAAAGGTTAGTTCAAGAAGAATTAACCTAGAAGGTAACACACAAGCACAGGAATTAATGTGAGTCAACTCTCTGTATAGCTATCCTTATCTCAACCAGCAAAAACCCTTGTTCCTTCCTATTATTGCTTATACTCTCTCTTCAACAAAATTAGAGATAAGGGCAAAATAGTTTCTGCTGGGTATTGAGGGGGTTGGGGGGAGAGGGAGGGGGTGGAGTGGGTTGTAAGGGAGGGGGTGGGGGCAGGGGGGAGAAATGACCCAAGCATTGTATGCACATATGAATAATAAAAAAAAAAGCATTTGGAAAAGAGAAGCAGGCTCTCTTGGCCTCTAGATTCCACCTGCACCCCACCATGTCCCCTTTGTATTTCTCTTCACTAACTTTTAAGAATTTGGAACTCTTCTGATCATGGACTCCACCCTGATAACAAAACCATTTGCAGATCAAATGAGATTTTGTTGACTTCTGATAGGAAATCCAAGATTTAGAAGGCATATGGGAATATCTGGACTAGCCCATCTTCAGAGAAGTTGGAGTTATGTTACCCAAGACAGAAGGCTACTACAAAACCTTTCTATTTGAAATAACATTTTTTTCTCGGTGGTATTGCGGTTTGCATTCAGGACCTTGTGCTTGTTATGCAGGCACTCTAGCACTTGAGCTACGTCCCCAGCCCTTTTCACTTTTTACTTTTATTTTTTTGGTGGGACTGGGAATCAGGGCTTCACACTTGCAAAGCTGGTGCTCTACAGCTTGAGTCACACCTCTAGTCCATTGTGCTCTGGTTATTTTGGAGATGGGGAAGGGGGTTCTTGAGAAATATCTGCCCATGCTGGCTTTGAACCTTGATCCTTGTGATCTCACCTTTCCAAGTAGTTAGGATTACAGATGTGAGCCACCAGTGCCCAACCTTTGTTATTTTTCTAATAGAGTCTCATGTTTATGCTGGGCTGGCCTGGATTACAATCCTATTTATGCTATTTGTGTAGCTGGGATGACAGGTGTGCACCACCACCTTTTATTGATACGGGGTCTCATATACTTTTTACCTGGGCTGGCTTTGAATCTCCAACCTCTCGATCTCTGCCTCCCAAGTAACTAGGGTTATAAGCACAAGCCATTCTGCCCCACCATTGATTTCTATTTTTAAGACACTTCCTATTCCAACCTATTCCAAGTTTTTAGATATACAGTAGGTCCGTGGTATCAGTGGGTATACTGTTTCCAGGAGACTGCCATTGAGGCAAACCCTCAAATGTTCAGGATGCATAAAGTTCAGTAATATACTGCGGATTTTTTTTTTTTTAAGTACTGGGGTTTGAACTCAGGGCCTATACCTTGAGCCACTCCACCAGCTCTTTTAGAATCTTGTGAACTATTTGCCCATATTGGCTTCGAACAGTAATTCTCCTGATCTCTGCCTCCTGAGTAGCTAGGATTATAGGCATGTCTGGCTATACTGCAGATTCTTGATTCATTTTTCCTATACCACCACACTGTTCCTGCTAAACAATGCCACCTTCCAACAAACGTAAAAATTTCACTTTATCACTTAAATTAAGCACATTAATTTTTACCTTGCTTTTTTGGGGAATCAGATTTTCACAAAATTAAGGGCAGGGAAACAGGAGACTAGACAATAATTTAACACAACTGATAACAGGGGACTGACTTGAGAGTTTGTCTGCACTAACCATGTGTGGGAATTAAAACTTTTTGTTTTTGAAATTTCTTTGATTTTTTTTGACCATGTTTGGTCAAAACCATGTATAATAAATCCATAAATAAGGCAGACTTACTCTGTATTTTTTTTGTTTTTTCTGTTCTAAGAGAAAGAGCTTTCAATATTCTTGAAGTGTCTTCTGGTAGTAACCTTTCACAGTTCTAATTATCCCCCTTCTTATAATATAGATATGAGGATAATTTTGTTTTAACTCATATGGTATAATAAATGATTCTGTAATTCACTGAAGAAATGAATTTAAATGGCTACTGTGGCTTAGATAACTGTTCCCCAAAAGCCCATCTGTTAAAGGGCTGGTCCCAATGGCACTATTGGGAGATGGCAGAACCTTTAAGGAGTGGGGCCACTTGGAAGTTTTCAAATCATATGGGATTGTGCCTTTGAAGGGGATAGTGGGATTCTGGCCACTCCTCTTTACTTCTCAATCATCTTGCAGTCAGCAGCTTCTTTTGCCACATGCTTCTACTACCTGTGATGTAATGCTTAGCCTGTGACAAGCCCAAAGGTAATTCACAAAGAACCATGAACCAAATCCTCCAATACTATGAGGCAAAATAAAGCTTTCCTTTTTTTAAGTTGGCTATCTCAGTATTTGTTACAGTAATGGGAGAGCGGAGCACCATCATGCTTTGGCCAGCTCATGGGAGACAGGGCAGTTTTCTTACATGTATTAGGAACCTTAGTGGCAAGTAGTGGGCTAAGCTTTTTACATAAAATAAAATCATGCATGGATACAACTGCCTTATTTTTTTTGCAGTGTGGGGTAATACAGTGACCTTATGAAGCAAGTATTCTCCCGCAAAAGAGGAAATGAGGCTCAGAGATTCATTCATGCATCCAGGCTCACATAGCTAGTATATTGTATAGTAACAAATACATTTGGTCTTTGTCCTAGGTTCCTGACATAGGGCTCATAAGACCTTAGGAATTTCCTGAGTGATAGTAGTGTCTTGTTATTCACAAGACCTGTTGGCTTATCACAGACTTTATGCTGAGGTTACTTAGAGTGAAACTCCTACGTAGTCTCAGGATAGCTCACCAGAAAGACCAAGTGATGGGATGACTGGAATTTTCAGTACCATCCATTGACCTCTGGAGTGAGGAACATCCAGAGAAAAAACTTTTTTTGTGGCACTCAAATTTGAACTTAGGGCCTCATGCCTGCTAGGGAGACACTACCACTTGAGCCTCTCTGCCAACCTCCATAAAAACTTTGGAACTCTTGAGATTTGATGTGCTCCCAGGTTACTGGACACCACCAAAGCTCTTCCCATACCTTGCTTTAGGCCATCTCTTTCACCAGGCTGTTCCAGAGCTGTATCCTTTATAACAAAGTGGTAAACCAAATGTTTATCAGTACTGGAGTTTGAACTCAGGGCCTCATGCTTGTTAGGTAGGCACTCTACCACTTGAGCCACTCCACCAGCCCTTTTCGTGTTGGGTATTTTCAAGATAGGGCATCACAAACTATTTGCCTGGGCTGGCCTCAAACCGAAATCCTGATCTCTGCCTTCTGAGTAGCTAGGATTATAGTCCTGGCCACCTGCAATGGGCCCTAGTGTTTTTGAGTTCTGTGAGCCATCTAGCAAATTTTTGAGCCCAAGGAGGGGATCCTCGAAACCCGATTTTCAGTTGGCTGGTCAAAAGTACTGGAGGCCAGGACTTTTAACTGGCATTGAAGTGGGGGCAGTCTTGTGGGACTGAGCTCCTTACTTGTAGTATCTGATGCTATATCCAAACAGATGGTGTCAGAACTGAACTGGGCTGTGAGACACTAGATAGGTGAGTTGGTTGATATGGGATTAAAAAAACTCCACACATTTTTGGTGACCTAAAATGTTTTGTGCTATGTGAAAATAGGAAAAATTTAGGTTTTTTCCATCTCATTCCTAGTAAGTTATAGAGGATTTTGGACCGAGGTCTGAATTCAAAGTGCATGTTCTTTAGCCTGGCTCAAAAAACCAAAAATCGTATGTTCTCCCTCATATGTGGACATTAGATCAAGGGCAAACACAACAAGGGGATTGGACTATGAGCACATGATAAAAGCGAGAGCACACAAGGGAGGGATGTGGATAGGTAAGACACCTAAAAAACTAGCTAGCATTTGTTGCCCTTAACGCAGAGAAACTAAAGCAGATACCTCAAAGCAACTGAGGCCAATAGGAAAAGGGGAACAGGTACTAGAGAAAAGGTTAGATCAAAAAGAATTAACCTAGAAGGTAACACCCATGCACAGGAAATCAATGTGAGTCAATGCCCTGTATAGCTATCCTTATCTCAACCAGCAAAAACTCTTGTTCCTTCCTATTATTGCTTATACTCTCTCTACAACAAGATTAGAAATAAGGGCAAAATAGTTTCTGCTGGGTATTGGGGGGGGAGAGGGAGGGGGTGGAGTGGGTGGTAAGGGAGGGGGTGGGGGCAGTGGGGAGAAATGAACCAATCCTTGTATGCACATATGAATAAAAGAAAAATGAAAAAAAAAACAAAAAAAAACAAAACAAAGTGCATGTTCTTTGCTTGTGTTGTTTCCTATTAAAATCTACAAATAATCCTAAAATAGTCAATTATATTCATTTTCTCTTACTTTTCTTTCTGAGACAGGATTTTGCTATGTAGCCCAGTTAGCCTTATATTCTTGCTTCTTCTGCCTCTGCTTCCTGGGTGCTGGGATTATGTGCTTGAACCACCATACCCAGCTGTTAACTGTTTTTTTTAAACCAAATTATCTTTTGCCAGAGCACTGAAAAGGAAGAAAAGTAAACTATTTCCCAGAGCACTGAAAAGGAAGAAAAGTAAACTATTTCTTTTTTGCTTTGTTGATACAGGGGTCTTTAGCTCAGGCTGGCCTTGAACTCACATTCCTCCTACATCAGTCTCTAAAGTGTTGGGATTAAAGACATGTGCCACCACTGGATTTTATGGCCACTTTTCTCTCTTTCTTTTCATGCTGCAGATTGAACATGAGGCCTCAGGCATGCAAAGGTGCTGTACCACTGAGCTGTACCTTCCTGCCCCTAATGGACACTTTTCTGTCCTTCCTCAAAATATGTGCAACAGGATAATGGAGAAAGTAAAGGTGCTGAATAATCTGTCATTGACTACATGACAACTCTGCTTGTGAACATTTTATTCTCTTTAAAATAAATATTGTGCCATAAAACTGTCTAGAACCGAGATCTGTAGTACACAGAAGGCAGGTACAATGGATAACCAGCACAGTGTGTTTTGTTAGAGTAAACCACTCTAAATCAGAAAAGACTAACCAACTGTTTACACCAGATACATACTCTGGGAGTAAATACACTTCTATGAAGAAAAAAGAAAAATAGATAAAGTTTAGAGAGAAGCGACCTTTCACAAATGAAAGAGTATCCTTAGATTAATAGTGGTGAAGAAAACTCACAGGTGAGGCTCTCCTATGTGCCCATTTTCTAGTTTAATTCCTGGCAGAGAGCAGCTGCTACATAAAAATTTGTTGAAAGGATTTCAAGCACTAGAATTTACATATTTTACATGGTCTCTCATTTAAAACCTCCAATCAATTTCCTTCTGCATTATCTTTACTTCATTAGCTAGTTATATATAGTATGATTTACACAATAAATTTATTATTTAAAATCTTTCAGTAAGTACAACAATTACAACATTTGAATAGGCTGGGCTTTAAATTGCTTGGATGAGGTTTATTTTGTACTCACATTATCCAAGCAAAGACAAAACACAATCAGCTCATGAGACACAACAAAAATGAAAAAAGGGAGGCAAATGTCTGCCCTAGAAGTTTTTCAATAACCTCTTGTATATATACATATACATATTCACAAAGTGGCGGGGAATCCATTATACCATCCATTTCATGAAGTCCAATGGATGAGAATTCTGTAATGAGACACATGGTCAGAAAGAAATCATTAGGACATTCAATGATCTTTTTTCCTTCAACTTTAATATCCTTTAGTTGGGGAGAGAAAGCAGCCCATTTTCATCTGCTGTATCTAAGATTTTACAGATCACTGGAGATTCGACCTAAAAAACAAGAGCAACAAAGCCATTAAAACGTTGGTAAATACTTACTCTATTTAGTATTATTGTGCTGAATGAATACATTTTCTAAATGTACATGAGTCTTTGTATTGGCTAAACCATTCAACATTATTTCTACAAATTAAGCTTTCTGAGAGCTTGTTTGGAGGTTCTAGCAGTGGAGCACAGTTACTTGTATACCCTTGACTGAAGAATGGACCTCCTCTATCGGGGATGGTCCTCTTTGACCAAGTGCGCAGCTTCAGGAGGGATGCATATGGAGTGGTGAGGGAGGAAGGGGACACTACCTAGCCAGCCACATGAGCTGAATCAACCCTGGCAATCACTGGGGTAACAGATGTAGTACCTAGATCACCCTCACATCCCAAATTAAGCTTTTTGGAAAATATTTTCATCCATATAAAATATGAGATAGGTGAAGAAAATATTCTTATTTCTCAATTAATATGATAAGGGAGAAGAAATGGAAAGGACAGGAATATAACAGGACTACACAGATCTTATACAACAAAAATGTTAAGACATTATGGCAAAATAATAAGCTTTATTTAAAAGGCAAAGAAAAATGTAACTCAATGATAGGCAAGATGTTGAGATAATCAGATGTTATGATAATTATGAAAACTAAGTTGAAGAAAAACAGCAGATAAAGTAGATAATATGTGTGACCAGAGGGAATTTTAGCAAAGTAAACCATTAAAAAAAAAACAAACCAACTGGTGGTGCATGTCTGGGAAAAAAAAAAAAGAGGGTATAAAAGAAAGCCTGAGCTTTTGGGACAATTTTAAACTAGTATGTTCAATTGGAGTTTCAAAAACAGGAGAAGAAATCTTTAAGGACACAATGGCCAAAATTTTTTCAAAATGGAACTGGGCACCGGTGGCTCACACCTGTAATCCTAGCTACTCAAGAGGCAGAGATCAGTAGGAGTGAGGTTCGAAGCCAGCCCAGGCAAACAGTTTGCGAGACCCTATCTTGAAAAACCCATCACAAAAAGGGCCGGTAGAGTGGCTTAAGGTGAAGGCCCTGAGTTTGAGCCCTAGTACCACAAAAATTTTTTTTCAAAATGGATCATTTATATGAACCTATAAATTCAAGAAACTCAGTGAACCTCAAGTAGGATAATACTGAAAAAGTCACAGTGAGGCAAAATACAATCAAAGGTAGAACCATAATGTTTCTAGAAGAAAATACAGGAGACAATTTTCATGACTTTGAGGTAGCAAAAAATTTTCTAGACACAAAAACAATTAGCTTAAGGAAAAAAACTGAAACCGAACTTAACCAAATAAAAAACTTCTGCTCAAGACATTAAAAAAAAATGAATAGGTAAGCCATAGGCTAAGGAAAAAAGATATGTACAATAGAAATATAAAGAGCTTATAGCCAGAATATATTTGAACTCCTGGAAACAGAGCAGTGAGAAGACAAACAACAGTAAAAAACTGACAAAGACTTCCTCCTTGACCTCTGAGCTATTTCTGAATACTCTCATTCCTGGGCATGGTCTTTGGCCTGCCTATTCCATGGTGGCAAGACTCCTGTAAGAGAGTTTAGAGAGAGTCCCCACCCGTGGTATCTATCTAGTCACCCTGGCTGCTTTCAGCAAGAATTCTGTTGAGTCAGTTTAGCAAGTATCCCCTACTCCTGATGCCTTTTCTTAGTCATTTCCATTTACTGAGTCCTCCATTCTGCTTGCTGGCTAGGTATCCTAAGCCACGTCTGCTGTATTCAGACGAGCTCTCCTTCCACTACTGCAACAGCTTTGTTACCTACCACAATAGTCCTCAATAAAGTCTTCCTGACACTTAGCAAATATCAGAATAATTTCTTTCTTTAATAAGGCTTGGCTAGACACTTCAAGAAGTATATGAATGCCAATAATCACATGAAAAGGTGCTTGCCATCACTATTCATATGGGGAATGCAAACTAAAACCATTAAATGATTAACAAAGACAGACAGCACTAAATTCGAGTGGGAAAGTGGCAACTGGGCCCTCATGCATTCTGGTAGGAGTATAAAATGGTGAACTGTGTGTCTGGTAAAAGCTTAACATGTATCTATTCAGGATTTACTAATTCTACACACAGGTATTTATTCAAAGTAAATGAAAACATATAACCACAGACAGACTTGTAAAAAAAATGTTCATAGTAACCTTTTTTTTTTTTTTGGGTGGGGTTGGGGTTTGAACTCAGGGCTTCATACTTGCAAAGCAGTTGCTCTATTGCTTGAGCCACACCTCCAGCCCCAGTTTTGTTTTGAGACAGTCTCACTAAAGATCACAGGCTGGTCTCAAACTTGGTATGGGACCAAGGCTACCCTTGAATTTTCTATTTTCCTACCTCTGCCTCCTGAGTGCTGAGAGTACAGGCTTGTACTACCATTCTCAACTCATAGTAACCTCATTCATAAAAACAAAAATTGAAAACAAATCAATTATATGTGAAGTATACAAAATTGATATAAATTAAATTAGATATAAATTATATATAAACAATTTTATTCATGTAGAATCCAAAAAGAAGCACACCTAACCTATATTGTCAGAAATATAGAGTGGTGGTAAGGAGTGTATATCAGAAACAGGTATAAGGAGAACTTTCTGCAGTGACATATTCCCTGGATATATACAGGACTGTGTAAAATGGTTAGAACTTATTAAACTCAGCACTTAAGACCTGTGCATTTGATTTTATGTAAATTATATAACAAAAGTGATATGGGGACTATATTAAGTCTTACAGACTAATGAAGGTCCTTTTTAGACCTAATGCAAAATATTAAATGTGGCCTAAGAACGAATTTTTTTTGTGTGTGGTGTTGGCCTCATGCATACTATGCAAGTGCTCTACCAATGAGGTACATCCCCAGCCCTAAATTTGAAGTTTTGATTATTTTCATTTTACTTACCCCAAGAATATACTGACAGGAGTGAGGCTCTAGCATATATACAGTAACAGCATGAGGAGAGTCTGATTCTTTACACCTAAAACAGAGAGTACTTTAAAGTACTGCCCAAATCATAGAAAGTAAGATTAAATTGTCATCCTCTTCAACTACAAAATCCCATTCAATGGACCCATTTAATATAATTTAAGTAACATTATTTAACAATTATTCATGATTATATGTTTATATAAAACTTTTGACTCTCAGAAACAAGAAAAGGAGAAAGGTATAAAGCATAATTTGATGATTCAACTTACTTTAGTTTTACAGTCACCTGTCTTGGTTTGTCAGTTATATCACAAACATCTCCGTTCCCATAAAAATGTGATACCATCCTGAATTGGAAAAACACAAGGTTTATTAAAACCTCAATAGTTCAAAATAATTGTAATGGGTAGGGTGAGATGATGGCTAGGGTTTTTAGGGTTGTGTCACAGAGACTGACGTTTAGATGCAAGGAGAATATAAGTTACAGATACCATGTACTGTCTTAATGATGTTTTAAACTTGCATATTATTTGTATATAAACAGGTTAGACTCCTTACAAAAAGTTGTTTTAAACTGATCCATTTGCCAGACCAGTATTTTTTTTTGTGGAATAATTCTTTCTATTCTCCATCAAATTAATCCTATTAAAATACTGTATGACAGCTGGTACAAAAGGCAAGCCTGGGCCAATGAGCAGTATCCAAAGAAACACTTCATTTTGCTGGTTGCATCCTCCTAGTCTTCAATATTTGTTGTACATGATACTATAATCTATTTTTACATGAAACATATATAAGCACAAGGCAGTCTGTTTAGTATATTAGGACAGTTAATGTCTACATCCTAATTTTGCAAACTCTGACTTTGGTTAGCCTGAAAAGTCAGAGTTCTGAAAATAACCTCTCAATACCATCTGTTCTATGATAGACAAAAGTAACACCTGAGAAGAACAAGAATGAATAATTTAAAATTCGCTGGGAAAGATACTACAAGCAAAGCCAAAGCTCAGTTATTCTTGGGAAATGACATTAATTTACTTATAACAAAATATATCCACATGTCCAAAAGAGATGTGAAGTAGTTTTACAACAAGCCACCATTCAGCTATTTTCAACCATTACCTCAAAAAAGCTAAGCAGCAAAGAGAAATGTTGCAGTATATTAAATAGAATTTAATAACTTACAAAGGTAAAAATTATACATGCTTTATAAGAGTCTTAGTTCCATAATTCTCAGTTCTCTGAATTGAGCTACTGTTGGGGCTCGAGATGTAGCTCCATAGCAGAGCATTTGCCTAGTATGGGTAAGACCCTGGTCCAATCCCCAACACTGCATAAAAAAGAAAACCAAGGGGCTGGTGGAGTGGCTCAAATGGTAGCGTGCCTGCTTAGCAAGCATGAGGCCCTGAGTTCAAACCCCAAGGTACCACCAAAAAAAAGCTTAACAAAATAAAGGAAAAAAACCCAAAGCAAGAAAGAATTGAGCCAGACACTGGCACCACAGCCACTCTGATTAACATGCCACTATCATTAAGTTTATTACATGCTACTGCAAGGCACTGTCCTCTCTATGAATTACCTCACTTAAATGTCACAATAGTCCTATAAAGCAAGTAACATCAGAAAAGAAAACTGAGGCTTAAAAAAAAAAATTATGGGGATGGAGGTATGGCTCAAGTGGTAGAGTGCTTGCCTAGTAAGCACGAAGTCCTGAGTTCAAACCAGTACGACCAAAACAAAACAAAAAAGCCAATAAAACAACAACAAAAATAGATCATGTAATTTGTCTAAAGTAGTAAGTGAAGAGCCAGCCAAAATTTGAATCCAGAAAGCGGGACTCTAGGAACTGTGTGCTCTTAACACTGTGTTGCTTTCCCTCAAAAGAAAAGTAATCTAAAACATATCCCCTGAAATAACACTTACCTAGAATTTTACTTACATGTTTCAATTTTTATATATTGTGAGTTTCAGAAATTCTACTAATCACTTTCAAAAGCAAATGTTAGTCTTTACCTGACTGTCTGGGTACCATCGTCTTGAAGATGGTAAGCTCTAGCAGTATTCTTCTTAGCCCATTCAATATGCTCTTCTTGGTTCCATGTTCCCACAACCACAGAGGTTTTCCCACTATCCTTGTCCTAATACATGAAAAAATATTTGTGATAATGCATTCCTGATATCATCAAACAGACTTTTATGTAATGTCTACCATTAGAGGGAATGATGTAAGTCAAACTCAGTGAGTAGAAATTTATCTTCTTTATTCTTTGTTTCTCTGAATAATCTAATTCCTAAGGAGGCTAGCTCTACATGTAGTTATTTCTGATTCAAATATTTTTCCTCTCTTATATCTATCAGTTGTATCTATTCTCTCCTGGAGATTTTTTTATTTTTATTTTTGCTTCATTTTCTTTCTCTGTATTTTCACTACCAGCACCTCAGCCCATAATCAAAACTTTAATCTCTCATATCTAGATTATATAACCACATAGTACTGTGTCTGTTCTTAGTGTGTGTGTGGGTAGGGCCTTATGTATGCTAGGCAAGTTTCCCACTATGAACTCCTCCCCAGCCCTACTAATCTGATTCTTTTAATTTTTTTTCTTTTGGCAGGCAATACTGGAGTTTTAACTCAATGCCTCAGGCTTGCTAGGCAGGCGCTTTATCCTTTGAGCCATTCCACCAGCCCTTCTACTGATAATTAAATTTCTGGCTCTGTGTTGGCTGTGGGTTAAATGTGTCTCCCAGAAAGCATGCTCTAGAACCTTAATCCCCAATACGATAGTACTGGGAGGCAAGATCTAATGAAAGGTACTTGGGTCATGAGGGCTGTAACATTATGAATGCCAATTATAAAAGGGTTGCAGCTTTGAGTTTGGTTTTGGGCTTTTTTTTTTTTTTTTTTAGGATGGAACTGGTGTTTGAACTTATGGCTTTGCACTTGCAAAACAAGTTCTCTATTGCTTGGGCCACACCTCCAGTCCTTGAGGCTTTTAGTTCAATTTCTTCCCTCTCTGATCCTCTTGCTTTCCAAGATGTAGCAAGAAGGACCTTGCAAGACCTTGATATTGGACTTGTTAGTCTCTGGAACTGTGAGAAATAATTTTTTTTTTTTTTATAAACAATCCAGTCTGAGACATTCTGTTATAGCAACACAAAGTCTTACCCTACTTTTACTCTTTTAAATGTACTCTTTCAAGTTATACTGGTCTTTACTACTCATTTGAGTCTATGCTTATTTCTGCATCAAAATTATCTGTTCAAATTGGACATTGGGGCACATGCCTGTAATGCTAGCACTCAGGGAGGCTGAGGCAGGAAATGGTGAGTTTGAGGCCAGACTGGGCTACATCATAAGGTCCTGTCTCAAAGCAAAGAAACAAATACCTGTTCCTTTCCCAATTCTTCTTTTATTACTTTTAAGAAATACTATGTATTTTCTTTAAGTGGACTTCTTTCCTTTTGACTCCTTCCTTCTTCTTCCTACGTCTTGCCTTCCTTCATATTTTATGCCAGACAACAAGGCTAGGAAATAATACACTTCTCATTAGAACTGAAAACTCCTGTGGTGCAAATGAACCAGGCAGAACTACTGCCCTAGTAGAACTTATGGCTTAATGAAAGACACAACTATTACACATTTTTTTCAGCAACTAGACTAAATTTCTAGACAGGGATTAGACTAGCAAAATACAGTGGCACAGCTGGCTCACACCTGTACTCCTAGTTACTCAGCAGGCAGAGATCAGGAGGATTGAAACCAGTCTGGGCAAACTGTTCATGAGACCCTATCATGAAAAAACCCATTACAATAAAGGGCTGGTGGAGTGGCTCAAGGTGAGGCCCTGAGTTCAAACCCCAGTACTGGAAAAAAAAGAAAAAAAGAAAAAAAAAAGGAGGCTGGATAGGAACAGCAAGACTGTGTGGGTTTGCATTTTAGTTTTACCATTTACCACCTATGTGTTTTAGGTAAACATTTCCTCATTTTGGAGTAACAATACCTTCCTCTTAAGGTTGTGATGAGGATTAAATGAGTTAAAAAAAAAAGTACTTAGTCCCTGGCATACAGTGAGCACTGTATTTGTTAGTTACTATTATTTTATATCTACCAAAGTACCCAGAAGAGTCCCTTAGAAAGTCTAAGTTATATGACCTGGACAAATTGGTAAAACCTAGTTTAAATGTATGAGAAAACAGTCATCTTAATGGGTTTGTTAACTGATTCAACCCTCTGTAAGGCAATTTTTCAGTGTGCATATACTTTGACCTAGCAAGGACACTACTGAAAATGTGTCATACGAATACACTAGCAAAAGTACGTCATGCTGAATGTGGTGGGGCATGTTGGTAATCCCAGCACTTGGGAGCCTGAGGCAGGAGATGTACAAGTTTGAAGCCAGCCTAGGCTACACAGCAAAACCCTCTGAGACACGAGGGCCTGTTAGGCAGGCCCTCTACCACTTAAGACACTGAACAGCATTTTTGTGTGATGGTTCTTGAACTATTTGCCCGGGTTGACCTTGAAGTGTGATCCACTTGAGCTTTGCCTCTAGAGTAGCTAGGATTTATAGGCATAAGCCATCAACACTTGGCTCCAACTCCTTTTTGTTTTAATTATTTTTCAGGTATTGTCTCCTGTTTTTTTGCTGGGGACTTGCCTCAGATGGGGATCTTCCTGCCTATGGCCTTCTATGTAGCTGCGATTAAGATCATAGGGAAATGCTACCACACCTGGCTTAATGACATGGAGACTCCCTAACTTTTTCCTGGGGCTGGCCTCAAACCAAGATCCTCTTGATCTCTACCTCTTTGAGTAGCTGGGAATACAGGCATGAGCCACCAAGCCTGGCTAAAAATAACTTCTTAATTAAAGGTAAAGAGGAATATCTACAACAGCCTATTATTCTACCAAGCTTATAGTAATACAAGAATCTGAGTGGTTAACAAGCAATGTTACTTCAAGATGACTGATTTAGTTAATATCAGATTTTTCTAGTTTCTAAAGTTTGGAGACAATTTGGTATGTCCATACTAAAAATCTTTCATAATTAAAAGTATTATTAATCCCCTTCCTTTACTCTACAAAGGATTTTAAAACTTTAATCCAGAACTTGAGAGGTAGAGCAGTGAGGGCACTTTCCTAGCATGCACGAAGTCTTGGCTTTGAGCCCCAGGACAGTAACCAACCAAACAACCTTTAATCCATCTAGTGACAGAATGATACATAAATGATATTTTATACCTCATGGTATTGATGTACATGTTTGCCATAGCAGAATTCATATTTCCACCAACCAACACCCTAAAGGAAAGAAAACATGTAAAATGTACAGAGAAAGGGGGACTGGGAGCTAATTTAACACTGTCACATGACAGTGTTGAAAACATATGTGACTTTTAGCTAGGTGCCAGTGGTTCATGCTATAATTACAGAATGGTAGCTATTCAGGAGGCAGAGACCAGAAGGATCACAGTTCAAAGCCAGCCTGGGCAAACAGTTCACAAGATCCTATCTCGAAAAAACCCTTCAGAAAAAAGGGCTGGTGGAGTGGCTCCAGGTGTAGGCCCTGAATTCAAACCCCAGTACTGCAAACAAACAAACAAACAAAAAAAAACTGTATGTGACTTTTATAACTTTTTATTTTTGTGTGGGGTAGTAGGGTTTGAATTTAGGACTTCATGCTTTTGAGGCAAGCTTTCTGTGGCCTGAGCCATGCCTCTGGCCCTTTCTGCTGTTGGGAGATAGGGTCTTGCTTTTGCCTAGGCTGGCCTGGACAGCAATTCTTCTATTTTAGGCTTCTCATCATCGCTGGGATGATAGGCATTCCCCAACATGCACAGCTTTTTTCTGGTGAGATGGGAGTCTCACAAACTTTTTTGCCATCCAATCCTCCCAATCTCAGCTTCCCAAGTAGCTTGGGATGACAGTATGAACCACTATATCCAAATATTGGTTGAGACAGCAAATTTTTTTACCCAGGCTTGCCTCAAGCTGCAATTCTTCTGATCTTAGCCTCCCAAGTAAGGAGGATTACAGATGTGAGCCATCAGCACCTGACTTATAACTTACAATAATAATAGCATGGTTGAAAATTAAAAATCACTGGGAAATAATAAAAAGACAAATATAAAGAATTAACTGCTGCATTGTCTTGGTGAAGTAAACAAAAAATTGGACAAAAATTACACTTGTAAGTGTATTTCCTAGTAGTGTTAATGGTTGGGGCAAAATTTTACCTTTGCAGATGTTAATTCTACTTTGAATTTTTTTTTTTGATGGTATTGGGGTTTGAACTCAACTCCAGGGCCTACACCTTGAGCCATGCTGCCGGCCCTTTTTTTATGATGGGTTTTTTTGAGACAGAGTATCATGAACTATTTGCCTGGCTGGCTTCCAACCACGATCCTCCTGATATCTGCCTCCTGAGTAGCTAGGATTATAGGCGTGAGCCACCAGAGTCCGGCTCTAGTTTGAATTGCAATTACTACATACCAAAATGTAGGAAATACCATCCTTGATGCCCACTATAGCAATCAAGCAGAATCAAACATAACTGCCACATGAAAGGTCAAATTTTACCTTAGGAGTAGAGAATATAATGGCTATGAATGATAGAGATGTGGAGGTATGAGATTTCAGAGAGAAAATGTCCATTAGAATGGCAGGATCCTATCTTTCACTGTCGACAGAACCCTTCTTTTAGTGCTGCCAATGCCCACTGATTAAATAACTGCCAAGCAAAAGTTTTAAGATAAATTTTTAAACTGAAAGTTCACTTCTCACCCCATGAAAGCAGTACGAACCACTAAGGAACTCTTTTATGAGTTGGTCATCTGTCAGCTTGGATATGTGGGTTGTTCCAACAGTTACAACTGGCTGAGAGCCAATCGCAATAGGTTTGTGTATTGCTGGAAATCTCTCTTCTTTACTTGATTGCAAATCTTCCTAAAATTAAGCAGACATGTTCATGAGCATTTATGCCATTTTTTTCAGTTACGGCTTAAGCTGTTAGTTTTAAGCTGTAGAAAATTCAGAAACAAGGGCTGGTGGATGATAAAAAGCACATGCCTAGCAAGCATGAGGCCCTGAGTTCAAAGCCCCGGGCTGCCAAAAAAAAAAAAAAAAAAAAAAGAAAATTTGGAAAATAAACTTTCCACTTAATTTTTTGTGTTCTAATGAAATGGACTTTGTGATACTTACCGTATAGAGAAAGTGCTAAATAAGTGCTAGTTTCACCTACGGGTATGATGACCAGTCTGAACACCCAGGGACAATTTCCATCATATGTGTATGTATGTACGTGTGTATAATTTTTTGTGGTACTGGAGTTTGATCTTAGGACCTCGTACTTCCTAGGCAGATGCTCTTATCACTTGAGCCATGCCTCAAGACTATCCATAATATACTTTGTCTTATTACTCTTATTAAGTACTTTGATACTTGTTATGCTTTCTTTCCCTACATTTAGCTTAATGAAGGATAAAGAAAGGATAACAAGTAGGATAAAGAGGAGTGAGCAGGAATGAATATGAGTATTAGTTATAATTATTAACATGTAGTAGAACCTTGTTGCTGCCTTGGAGGAAGGAACCTGAAATTTCATAGAGGAGATTCAGGTAATTGGTACAGGGAACAAAAGACTCACAAAGAAAGAGGTGGTTCTAGCCAACTTAGACCAAGTATTGAAATATGAAGACTTGACAAATAGAGAACCCCTGATCAATTTTGAAACATGACAGTAATTTGTGTATATGCTTTGTATTTGTGTATGTGTGTGTGTGTATACATACATACATATATATATACACACACACATATATGTATATATATATATATATGCATATATATATATACACACACACACATGGGGACTTGAGGAAGATGTAGGAGCAAAGATGTGGGACTTTAATATATAAAACTAAAGAGATAAGCTGGCAGTATATGGTGGGAAACAACAGCTAAGAGATTTAGACATTAACTTATGGATATTAAGCAAAGGTATGCTGTGATTTTTTTATTTGTCTTTTTGAGACAAGTTCATACTATGTAGCCCAGGCTGTTCTCCAATTTGTGATCCTTCTGTGTCAGCCTTCTAGAATTACAGGCCAGCACTATCACACCTGGTCTGTGAAGCATTTTGACTAACCTTTATTATTATTATTATTTTTTGAGTGGGACTGGGGTTTGAACTCACCTCCAATTCATTTTGGTCTGGTTACTTTGGAGATAGGGTCTTGTGAACTACTTGCCCAGGCTGGCCTTGAATGGTGGTGGTCTTCCCACTCTCAGCCTCCCAAGTAGCTAGGATTATAGGTATGAGCCACACATGCCTGGTTCTAAACTAACTTTTAAATACCTGTCAGTACTTAGATCACTACTAAAGAGAATACCAGAAGAGAATTCCAGTTCAAATCTTTTAATACAGCACTCCAAATCAAACTGTGGAATTAATGTTAAGATCACTTTTTCCTCTTAGAGATTGACCACGTTGGTCAAAGCATCCAATGAGTCTGGCAATACTTTTGCAAGAAGTATGTAAGAGGAAGGGAAGAAATATGCCTTGCAGCTAAGTATTAGTTAATTAACCATTCAGTACCACAGCATGCCAGGCATTATGTAAGCAGCTGGAAACCCCAAAGTAAAGAAAGCATCATTTCTTCTGCCCTCCAGTTTAATGTAATAACCATACATAAAGCAACCAGTTCCCCTCCACCCCATGTAAGTGCCATAGTAAAGAACTGAATAAAACACAAGACCACAGAAGTGAAACACTTCTCTCTAATCCTGTTTGGAAATCCTGGCTCATTTCCAAAATATGTGACACTGGAATTACGTCTTCTAGCATAAACACAAGTTATGAGGTGAAAAGGAAGAGGGGGCAAGGCAATAGAAGAAGAAGAAGAAAAGCATATATTCAAAGGTAAGGAAGCCAGAAAGAACATGGTCCTTTTAGGAAGCTCTAAGTTGTTCAAAACAGCTGAAATAAAGGGAGTGGTAATGGAAGATAAGAATGAAGCCAGATCACAAAGGGCCTGGATTCCATAAGCAATGATCATGTTCTCCACCAAAGGATTAAATAATCAAATGCTCATTTTAGAAACCACATTTTATCAGCTGTTCGGGAAGGATTAGTAAGGGGATTTATGTCAGTTTCTGGCCCTAGGAAATAATGAGGTCCTGAACTATTGATGGGACAGATTTGAAAAGCATTTAGAAGATAACACTGATAGCAAATGAAGAGACAGGTAAGAAAAATGACTTAAGTTTCTGACTTGGTCAATTGGCCAAAACATAGTGCTTTAAAAGCATTGGGGAAGGTAAGAAAAGGGTTAGTGTGAAGTAGAAAAAATGGTGAGTGTGAGATGACTGAAAAGGTATATGGCTATGTCCAACAGGCAGACAGCAAGGAAGACAGTGCATAAATGGGGGAAGCAGCATATAGAAGTGGTTAAAAAGCAGCAAGGAACTGAGGAATAAAGTGTTAGGAGGTAGAGAGGCTTAGCTGGGACTACTTAAAACTCAGATTAACTATCATGAATAGGATGTTAAACTTAAAAATATGAAATTATGACTATAAGAGAATTCTAAAAGTAGTTTCCAAAAAGTATAAGAAAAAGAACTGAAATTATGAGAAGAATTAGAACTTAAAATTTTTAGTCAATGAAATAAATTGCTACTACTGCACTATTTTTATTTTTTTTTCCACAGTACTGGAGTTTCAACTCAGGTCCTCACCCTTGCTAGGTAGGCACTTTACCACTTGGGCCACTCCTCCAGCCCATGTACTATAGAAGTCTTTAAAAAATTGCTGTATTTTCTGAAATCTGAAACATGAAAAGTGAGAAAGTACCCCTAGATAATTCTCATACCTCTTTATTTCTTCTAAAAGGCACTCGTAGTATTTCTTCCTGTTGTTCCAACTGTCTCAGTGTGAGGGGTTTAAATGGAGATCCTGGCAGTGATTGGCAAAATATGTCATTCACAGGAGATGCTCTGAACCTATTCATCAAGAACAAAGCATTAAAGCTAAGCATATAACACATAGAAGCACGTGTGCATTGTATGTTTAAAATATTAAATGCACATCCTACCTATATTTAGGATGATTGCACAAGAGTGGTGTCAAAATGACAACTTCATATTCACAAGTTGTAACTTCAGCTACTGAAAGAATTTCATGCTTAGATTCAGGATGACATATGTACATCACAGTACTTGATCTGGGCCGGTTCTGTTTCAAACTACAAGGTGTACCATTTCCCATTCCCACAGGATAGTAGGGTGTCATCTGACCTTCGATATTTTTAGTGGGAATCTTAAAAAAAAAGTATAAGACAGACTTTTCATTAGAAAATGAGGTGGTATTGGGGATGGGGGAATAATTTATTATTCTGGAAGGAAGAAAACTACATTTTATTTATAAACAGAAAAGCAACATTTCTGTAGTAAAGTCCACTCTGAATGTTTTGATTCCTAGACCAAACTTGTATTTTGAACTAGTGTTAACATATCAGAAAAGAAAATTATAATTTGATGTTAAAATTAAGATGTTAAGTCATTTGTATAAGAGGGCTATGAGATCTTGATTAATATGAATTATTCTTCAATAGTTCAAAAGGAAGAGAACTTACTATACTGGGCTGCTTTGGGCTTTCTTCATTAAACTCTCAGTGCATGGCTGTTTAGTTTAAATTCAACAAGTCTGAAGGCTGATTTATCAAAAAGTAGGGCAAGATAATAAAACAGTATGTTCTAAACAGGAATCTAAATATAGTACTGGTACATCTATCAAACTGGTTACTCTTCTGTTATTAACAGCACATACTTTTCAGTATAAAACTTCTACATCAATCAGTTCAAGTCTAGCAAATGGAGAATTAAGAAATTTTCATGAAATGGGGGAATAAGGGATATACCTGAAGAGACAAGGATTATTATTAGGGAGTTAGCTGCTATGCTTTTCTCTATGTAAACACAAACACAAATCTGATGTATGAGCTTTAAAAAGATATTGTTAACACCTCTGGGCAAGCTGTTTGGAAGCAGGCATTTCATCTTGTATCACTTTTGTACCCTGTCAGTGTCATGTCCAAAACTTGGCAATAAGTAAGTGGTTCCTGGGAAAAATATTTTGAGATTTCCTTGTATATTTCTATACTATTGTTTGAAATAAGAAAATCCTGGGTTCCAAGCTTTGGATTTACTAGCTTTATGAGTGATTAAATTTCAGTATTTGTTATTTATAAAAATAGAATAATAAATACTCAAAGATTGTTGGGAGAATTAAACATTAACCTGGAAATAACTGCATATACACTGGGGCTCATTCAATGTTAGTTTCCTTCCCTTTCCCTTCTCCTTTTCTCTCTCTCTCTTTTTTGAATCCAGGGCCTTGCCTTGTGCTCTACCACTTGAACCATACCGCTAGTCTCATTTTGATTTCCTGCCATCTTGCTATTCTCAGAGTCATAGTAAGCAAGTATTTTATCTCAAAGGTAGTTCACAAAATTAAAATCTTTGAAAATAGCAATTCTATATGTGTCTGTACTTAGCTTATTAATTGCTCCAAAATCTCCCTGTTATGCTATAAGCATCCCTCCTAAGTAATTTTCAAGGTCATTTCCATTTCATTTCTTACTTCTAATAAAAGTATCACTACGTTATTAAGCCCTTTGTAGAAATACCCTCTATCAATAAGTTATTCAAACTCTATGGAAATTCTTAGGATTCAAAAAGCACACTCTGAACTGTATGAGTATTTACAAATTGTGGTTAGGTATCTTGAGAATCATTCTTTTTAAGCAATCCTTTTTTTTTTTTTTTTTTTGCTATTATTTAATAAATACTTATGAAGTGCCTATATTATGTATGGCCCTATGCTTTGCACTGTGGGACAATGAGATAAAAAGGTAGTTCTGACTTTTAAGATGTTTGTAGTCTGGTAGCTTGTTATTTACTAATACAGTTTATCTGTTTTACTATAGGAGAGGGTAGCAAATGAGAAAAAAAATGCAAAAGCTCTTACTACAATTGTTTCCAATACTAAACAGAGAGAACCACTAAGTACTGAAGTGACATAATGATTATTACAGAATAGATGCATAATTAATAGATTTATTATGATTTTAAAAGTAAATAGAAGAATCACAATGTAACTTTTCACAGAAAAACCAAATATACTGTAAATTTTCTTTGACCCAGTCCTATAATTTAATGCCTTACTAATGATGTAATAGTGAAAAAATTAACGTCTGTCACATACCTCATTTGATTTTTCCTTTTCTTCTGCTTCTCGTTCTGTAGAGTAACATAAAAGAAAGGTAAGTGTGTAAAGAATGATCAGTGACATATACAAGATACACACGGCTAAGTTTTCAACTATCTTTGTAACCTTAAACTGTTTTTTTGTGGTGCTGGGGCTTGAACTCAGGGCCTACACCTTGAGCCACTCCAACCAGCCTTTTTTTGTGTTGAGTTTTTTCAAGAATGGGTCTCAATTCATTAAAGAGATTGAAAAATCTACCGTGAAATTCATATGGAAACACAGAAAACCATGAATAGCCAAGGCAATACTCAGTCAAAAGAACAATGCAGGAGGTATCACAATACCTGACTTCAAACTATATTACAAAGCAATAACAATAAAACAGCATGGTACTGGCACAAAAACAGACATGAAGACCAGTGGAACAGAACAGAGGACCCAGATATGAAGCCACACAACTATAACCAACTTGTCTTTGACAAAGGAGCTAAAAATATACGATGGAGAAATAGCAGCCTCTTCAACAAAAACTGCTGGGAAAACTGGTTAGCAGTCTGCAAAAAACTGAAACTAGATCCATGTATATCACCCTATACCAAGATTAACTCAAAATGGATCAAGGATCTTAATATCAGACCACAAACTCTAAAGTTGATATAGAAAGAGTAGGAAATACTCTGGAGTTAGTAGGTATAGGTAAGAACTTTCTCAATGAAACCCCAGCAGCACAGCAACTAAGAGACAGCATAGATAAATGGGACTTCATAAAACTAAAAAGCTTCTGTTCATCAAAAGAAATGGTCTCTAAACTGAAGAGAACACCCACAGAGTGGGAGAAAATATTTGCCAGCTATACATCAGACAAAGGACTGATAACCAGAATATATAGGGAACTTAAAAAACTAAATTCTCCCAAAACTAATGAACCAATAAAGAAATGGGCAAGTGAACTAAACAGAACTTTCTCAAAAGAAGAAATTCAAATGGCCAGAAAACTCATGAAAAAATGCTCACCATCTCTAGCAATAAAGGAAATGCAAATTAAAACCATGCTAAGATTCCACCTCACCCGTTAGAATAGCCATCATTAGCAACACCACCAACAACAGGTGTTGGCGAGGATGCGGGGAAAAAGTAACCCTCTTACACTGTTGCTGGGAATGTAAACTAGTACAACCACTCTGGAAAAATATTTGGAGGCTACTTAAAAAGCTGACATCGATCTACCATTTGATCCAGCAATACCACTCTTGGGGATATACCCAAAAGACTGTGACACAGGTTACTCCAGAGGCACCTGCACACCCATGTTTATTGCAGCACTATTCACAATAGCCAAGTTATGGAAACAGCCAAGATGCCCCACCACTGACGAATGGATTAAGAAAATGTGGTATCTATACACAATGGAATTTTATGCAGCCATGAAGAAGAACGAAATGTTATCATTTGCTGGTAAATGGATGGAATTGGAGAACATCATTCTGAGTGAGGTTAGCCTGGCCCAAAAGACCAAAAATCGTATGTTCTCCCTCATATGTGGACATTAGATCAAGGGCAAACACAACAATGGGATTGGACTTTGAGCACATGATAAAAGCGAGAGCACACAAGGGAGGGGTGAGGATAGGTAGACACCTAAAAAATTAGCTAGCATTTGTTGCCCTTAACGCAGAGAAACTAAAGCAGATACCTTAAAAGCAACTGAGGCCAATAGGAAAAGGGGACCAGGAACTAGAGAAAAGGTTAGATCAAAAAGAATTAACCTAGAAGGTAACACACACACACAGGAAATTAATGTGAGTCAACTCCCTGTATAGCTATCCTTATCTCAACCAGCAAAAACCCTTGTTCCTTCCTATTATTGCTTATACTCTCTCTACAACAAAATTAGAAATAAGGGCAAAATAGTTTCTGCTGGGTATTGAGGGGGTTGGGGGGAGAGGGAGGAGGCAGAGTGGGTGGTAAGGGAGGGTGTGGGGGCAGGGGGGAGAAATGACCCAAGCATTGTATGCACATATGAATAAAAAAAAAAAAAAAAAAAAAAAAAAGGAATGGGTCTTGTGAACCATTTGCCCAGGATGGCTTTGAACTGTGATCTTCTTAATCTGTCTCCTAAGTAGCTAGAATTACAGGCATGACACTGGTACCCGACCTTAAACTTCTTTCTAAAGAAGATTCAAAACATGCATATGATTTTTGTCTTTGTACTTTTTTTGTAGTAGGGAGCAGTGTTGGGTATTGAACCCAAGATTTCATGTATGCTAGGCAAGTGTTTTATCACTGAGCTATACCCACAGCCTTGTCTTACTAATTTTAAAGTTACTATTCTTGAAACAATGTGTTAAAAGGCAGTCACATTTAATCTTTACATCTTATTATTTATTTTTTTTATAGTGGCACTAGGGTTTGAACTCAGGGCCTAATGCTTCTAGACAGGTGCTCTTACTCCTTGAGTCACTCTGCTAGCCTAATCTTTACATCTTTACCTAGGAAATATCCTATTTCACAAATAAAAACTATTTCTTTGGAAATATCTTAGTGAAATGTTGAATCTTAAATTAATTGACCAGTTTGGGTAATGTATAGGTTAACACACATTTTTCACCATTGGAAGGATACATCTATTTCCATATATAAAATTTCTGCTTAAATCAAGCAAAAGACGAACACTATATAAATATAACACTAACGTATATATTCTAACAGATTTATAAAACTTCATTAATAAGTAGAAAAAAAGCGTAACATATTCCAAAGCAGGAAATAATGAACACAAAGGCTTCTTTAAAAAATATTTTCTAAAGGAAAGTTCAGAAACTTATTTTAGTGTTTTAAAATTCACATTCTCCAAGAAAATTTCTTAAATTTCAATTTGAACATAAATGTTAAAACAAATTCCAACATTAGTATCAAAGCACTTTGTAGAGACTAACCTTTTTCAGACAGGAGGTTCTTAGCCAACATATTCCCAAGGTAGTACTCATGAATATTTACTTTCTATATAAAAAAAATACAGTTAAGCACTTTGTAAATACATTTTCAAGGTTACAACATTAAAACTACCAATTTCATTATGAAATATCTCATTTTATAAGGTTCTACACTTTATATTTTTAAGAAAAACATACCTGACCAGTTTCTTTCTCTTCATGGTACTGTCGAATGTGTTTTCCATGACATACTTCATAAGTCCAGTAAGATTCAATCTAAGAAAGATAAACATATTTAAATATGCAAAAGCCATATAATTCAAGTACATGACTTTTTGGTATTTGTGGGTTTTTTGGGTGGTACTGGGGTTTGAACTCAGGGCCTCCTGCTTGCTAGGCAGGCATACTACCACGCGAGCCACTCTACCAGCCTTGCTATTTTGAATAGATTTCCCCAAAATTTATAGTGATCTTTCATTAAATGATACTTATTCTTCACAAAAAGGTGAAACTTCTGAAGTCTATTCATTGTTTTTGTTGATTAGTCATGTGAGAATTTTGTGAAGGAAACAGGGCTAGAATAGACTGGGGTCTGTAATAACTATCTAGCTTAACGATAATTTTCTACACAGCTTAAAAAATAACAATTGACATTTTTAATTAAAATTCTATAATGCAAGGAAACTTTCTTTTGAACTGAAAGACATTCAGAGTCGCTTGGTAAATTATATGATATTGCTATTTTTGAGTGTCTTTTGCATATACTATACAAGAATTTAAATGAACAAAATACTATTAAGCAATAACTTAGATTTGCATCTAACTTAAAATTTGATACAACATATAAAGTGAGAAGAAATGCAGAAGTAATTTTAAGGTTCTAGTGGGTGCTGGAAATTTATTTTGCTGTTATCAAATGAACATAAAATACATACTCTGTAGGAACAACTGCTTTGTTTAAATAGTGGTTCCAAAAGCTCTCTTGGATTTGGGCCTTTATAATCCTTTTCTTCTTCCTAAAAAGGAACTGGAGTTTAATACATACAATTTTTTTTAGAACTTCACCCATCTCTACTGTTTGGGATTAACTCACGGGTATTCTATCACGATGCTTGGACATAAGAGCTGAAAAAACATCAAAACCTTTAACAAGATCCTATGGTATGACACTTCTTTCAAATGAGTTGAAATGTAAAATATGGAACCACAGAATAATCTTCCATGGTGTCCATTCTTTCTTTCTTTCTTTTAAAGTTTTTAATTATCAGTTTTCTGAACAATTCTTATCAACCTATTTCAGAATTTTTAAATGTCTATACAAAAACAAATTTTAGTTATGAAAGTCTTAGAATGGTTGATTTATACACTACACTGAAAAGGTATTTTTCTTTTTTTGGTAGTACTAGAACTTGAACTCAAAACCTCAACCTTGCTAGGCAGGCGCTCTTACTGCTGGAGTCAGTCCACCAGCCCTGGAAAAATACTTTTAAATTTCCTACATATTTTTACATCTCAGAGTCGAATGCCATATATATGTATGTATGGTTACATGTATGCATTTGTGTCTTAAGAACAAATTAAATAGCTGTCTTATTAGACAGATTTCAAATTGGAAAAAAAGCTTAAGCAAGCACTGAGTTTAGTGTTTCTGTTTTACAGATCATGAGAATATGAACTGGCTTGATGAATGTGTTGAGTGTAGGAACTGAGATTCAAACTTGCCCACAGTTCTACAACTAATGGTAGCCTACATCTCAATCACCTGTCCTTTCCATTTTACCATGCTGCCTCTCCTGTTTCATCTTGAAACAAGTCATTGCCTTGAAGGATGGATAAAAGGCAGTTAGGGCCTTTTAGGAGAAAGAAAAGGGCATGAACTAAGGGAGTGAGAAAGCATAAGGTATCTATAAATTCATTATAAACTATAAATCTATAAATTCTTTATAAACATGTCACATATACATTGAAAAATTCTGCTGTTTTACAAAACCCTCATGTCTATAAAGGAAAACAATCATGGAGTTAAGAGTTTTATTCAAAACATTAATAATTGGTTGCTATCTTTTTCCAAAAGGAATTGCAAAACCAAATTCAGGGTAACAGAAGCAGTATTTTGTATGCTAAAAGAGTTGCTGAGACTCTTGTTACAATTTTAAAGTATGTGGCTGCAATGTTTTAAATAAGTATCTTTGATGACAGGGATTATCAACATATTTATAAAAACATACCTCATCCCCACTTGTCACAAGGGGAAGTATGCATTTATATTTTTCTTTATGTGCTGTTGTCATGATGACATAATTATCTTCTTTATACAAAACTCCAGTTGTGGGCTAGAAACAGAATAAAAACATGTATTACTTTCTCCAGTTAAATTAAACAACTTACTAATAATTACTTTCCCCGGTTAAATTACGTTATATTGAATAAGTTCAGTCCTAGCTAAAATGAAGGTTCCTCAAGCTAAGTTGTTTCAACAGAGGACTTAAAAGATATTTTCTTTCTTTTTTTGAGATAGGGTCTTCCTCTGTGGTCCAGGCTAACCCAGCCCCAGATCCTAAAGCATGCCAAGCATATGCTTACCACTGAGCTGCATTTCCGCTCAAGAGGCAATGAATATTCACAGAAACACCATCACAGAACACTTAGTACTCCTATTGTCCTATATGGGACAATCCACAATACTTCACAAATGAATTCTTGATTCTGTTGGATGGGACACTTGAATATAATGTAATACAGTATTTTTTATATTTGAGGAGTGTACAAACTTATCCATAAATAAATTCCTTTAAAAAGAAAAACTACAGGGGGTGGAGGCAGGGAGGAGAAATGACCCAAGCATTGTATGCACATATGAATAATAAAAAAATAAAAATAAAAAAAAAAGAAAAATTATTATAGATCCTCTGTACAAACTTAACTTTTTAAAACATGTACCAGGGATCAGCAAACTTCCTACAGGGCTTTGTGAGCCCTGTAGTTTCTGTTGTTAACTCTACAACTTTAGCAACTAAGTATACAGACAAGATGTAAACTAATAGGCACAGGTGTGATCTAATAAAACTCTATAAAAATAGGTGGTGGGCCAGCACAATAACTACAGTTTGCTGACTCCTGGCATATCTAAACAAAACTACCCTTACAACTTTCTATATTATAAAAACAAATTCATTTTGGTTTATATGAACCAAAATATTTCAAATGAACACCTCAATTAATATAACTGATGCCATAATACTAAAAAGAAATACCTCATTTCTGGACTGTATTTTATGATATTCAATTTTCTCTTAATAATACAGTAAAAACCACTGTACAATTTGGCTATTTCCTAGAAGGAAAGAAGCATTCAATTTAACAATAACAATTATTTTTTCTTTTTTTCTGGTGGTACTGGGAGTTGTACTCAGGGCCTTGTGCTTGCTAGGCAGGTGTTTTACTATCTGAGACATGCCTCCAGTTCTCAATAACAATTCTTTTTTTTTTTTTTTTGTGGTACTGGGGCTTGAACTCAGGTAGGGCCTACACCTTAAGCCACTCCACCAGACCTCTTTTAATGATGATTTTTTCAAGACAGGGTCTGACAAACTATTGCCTGGGCTGGCTCTGAATTGTGATCCTCCTGATCCCTGCCTTGTAAGTAGCTAGGATTACAGGCATGAGCCACAGGCACCCGGCCTCAATAAAAATTCTTTAACCATAATAAGACTAGTATTATTTGGAACCAATGTAATCTTAAATATATGCAAATTAGAGTAGTAGTGTTTCCTAAACAAACAAGAAGTATTAGTATCAGCTCTATGACAGTACAGCCATCCCTTGGTATCCTGGGGAACTGGTTCTATAAAACTCCCTATCAAAATTTGTAGATCTGTAGATGCTCAACTCCCTATATAAAGTGGCAGAGATTTGCATAAAACCTATGCACACCCTCCCCATACTACAACTCATCTGTAGACAACTTGTAAGACCTAATACAATGTCAATCGTAAGTAAATAGTTACAGTATATTGTTTATGGAATGAGAAAAAAGGTCTTTACATGTTCAGTACAGACCCAACTTTTTTCCCAAGTATTTTTGATCCTAGGTTGGTTGAATTCACAGATACAAGTCTGTGGATATGGCTGTGGAGAGCCAGTTGTACTATTTTAAGTGCTTTACATGTATTAACTCGTTAATTCTAAAAACAAGCATTATACTCAATTTCATAGAAAGGACACTGTGGTCAGAGTTTAAGCAATATGTCCAATGCAACATAGCTAGAAGTAGCATAGCCCAGAGAAGCCAAGCAGGTTGGCTCCATACTCTGTGTGGTCATAACTGTTTTAACATATTTGAGTTAGCTTTTAGTATTTTTATTAGTGCATATTAATTATACAAAGGGATTTCATTGTTAATGTAGTTTTTAAAAGATTACTACATAGCCTTCTGTTTTATAGTCAAGAATCCTTGTTTGAAAGGCCATTATAGATGGGCATAGAGCACAGGCCTATAACTTAAGCACAGAGGCTAAGGTAGGAGGATTGAGAGTTCAAGACCAGCCTAGCCTACATGATAGTTCAAGGCTAGTATGACTTACACAGTGAGACTTTTTTTGTGGTACTGGGGTTTGAACTCAGGGCCTCACGCTTGCTAGGCAGATGCTCTACCACTTAAGCCACTCCACCAACCACAGTGAGACTCTGTCTTAAAAAAAACAAGCTGGGAATGTAGCTCAGCTGTAGAGCACTTGCCTAGTGAGTTCAAGGCCCTGGGTCCAATCTCCAGAACTGCAAAAAGGAAAAGAAAAAAATAATAATAAAGCCAGGTATACTAGTGCTAAGGGGAGGACAAGATATTAAGACTGAGACTTTGAAGCCATCCTGGGCTGCACAATTAGACCCTGTCTCAAAAAAAGAAAAAAGAAAAAAAAAGACTATTATAAGTGATAAGGGAATTAAGAGATTTGTAAGAGCTGCAAAGCCAAATTTATGACAGAGGAATGCTTAGAAACATTTACTCAATAACAATTTGCTGTAAGATGTATTTATAATAACTTTCCATGTTTTTTCACCTATATGATATGTATGCAAAGTGAAACTCACATTAATGATGTGATGACCTGACAGTTTTAATGATGGATGGCCTGACAGTTTTTCAATCTTTTTGTTTGTTTGTTTTATGATGGATGGCCTGACAGTTTTTCAATCTTTTTGTTTGCTTGTTTTGTTTTTTTTTTGTGGTACTAGGGTTCAAACTCAGGGCCGACACCTTGAGCCACTCCACCAGTCCTTTTGTGTAATGGGTTTTTTTGAGATAGGGTCTTTTGAACTATTTGTCTGTGCTGGCTTCAAAGAGCAATCCTCCTGATGTCTGTCTCCTAGTAGCTAAGATTACAAGTATGAGCCCCTGCTGTCCAGCTCAAATCACTCTTATATTGTAGTGAAGGAAGACAGAAGTAAATAACTTAAATGTATTCACTCATATTTGTGAAGTACCTGAACTCTGATCTTCACAGTTGAATTCTACAGTACTACTGACTTACTAAAATGTTCACCACAATGCTAGTAACAGACCTACGGAACCACAGCAAAGAAACAGACAATTCTCGAGATTTGTCTTTCACTAGTTTAGGAAGGACTACTTTTCAATACAGTAGAAAAAACAAAAGTTTCCAGCAAAAACTATTTGTGGTTTGCTGAAAGCCTAAGTCATTTGTTGGGATCATAAGATATAATGTTCCTCAATTTTACAAAAAAATAGGGTAAAAAAAGTTTACCCTATTTTTTGTAACAGAAATTACTGTGGAAAAGTTAACTTTTTATTAACTTTTTTTTTTTATTAAAACATTTCCTTCTGATTTTGTAAAGCAGCATCTTATAAAGAAAAGAAAAATAGAGCTAGGAGTGGTAGTGTGTACCTGCATCCCAGCACTCAGGAGGCTGAGGCCGAAGGATCACAAGTTTGAGGCCAGCTTGGGCTACACAGGGAGTTCCTGGGCAGCCTAAGGTACACAAGAGAGACCCTGTCTAAAAAAAACACAAAATAAAACAGGAAAAAAAAAAAAGAGGAAATATAATAAAATCTGAATATACAGCAGTACAGAGTGTAAAAATTGTTTCATGTAACAAAGTATTCTCAGCATAAGTGGTAATATCTTCTAGTGGTTTGGTAAAGTTTTAATATAATGAAACTAATCAAAGAGTGGGCACCTTAAAGTAAAGCAACTTGAAAAGTACTTGGCATGGAAGAAATTCTTAATGTTTGACCTGAGTTTGGAGGAACTAAGACTATGAGATGATGAAAGGAAAAACTTCTGTCTTAGAGTTGGTAATCCCAGCACTCTGGAGGCTGAGGCAGGAGGATCTTGAGTTTGAGGCTAACCTGGGCTACATAGTGAGATGTCTCAAAAAACTACCACCACCAAACTTCTATCCTGGGAGAGGTTGTAAAATACACTTAGTGGTACAACTTGTGAATGCTGTTAATCACAGAGTTGGTCAGCATTCTTCCTAGTACAGTGCTTTGCAGAAAGCTTTTGAGTAGGACTATACTCTACAGTAACAATAGAAGTAGCAGAAAATTAATTTAGTAGTTCAATTTGGTGAAATCCATGGACTCTAAAATAACGAATAACTGAACAATAATTAAAGACAATTTCAGAAAAAATACATACACAAAAGTAAATGCTAAAAATTAGTACACAAAGAACATCATAATTACTTGCCAATTAAAATATTTACATATTTTTACTGCTCAATACTTTTTCTAAGTAAACAAAATTGTAAAAGACTGTGTTGGTTTGATATATCTGGACGGGGAGAAGAATTTTAGTTTAAAAATTGGAAGTTTAAAGCTTTAGGAAAAAAAATCCAGATCTTCTAATCTAGTGTCGTCCAATTTAGACAGTTGTTTGTTATATTCAAATGTCCAACAAAGTGGCTCACAAAAAATGGTGGTGAGAAGAGCTGCTTCAATTAAAGAAAGCAGGCAAAGTGAAGCCTTAAGGTTATGTATTAAAAAAATTCAAAAGATCAACAATAATGATTCTTATAAGCTTGTTTTTACATGAGGTCATAAGACTTTTTGCCAATTCATGGAAAAATGTCTAGGTTTTTCTCAAAACAATGCAGACTTAAAAAAAATAATTTCTCCAAGTTTTGAAATGTGTCCATCTTAGATTGTTGCATTGCCAATGCAAAGTAATTAAAAATGAAATTTCAACATAAAATTGATAGACATAAAATGTTAAATTAGTATACAGTAAGAGCAGGATCTTTTTTCATGACTTCTTTTTAGCTAGCAAACACCAGTGCCAGAAAGAAAACTGAATGACCATTTGGTAGTAACTTCTAAAAAGGCTACATTTAGTCACTCACTTTAGGTCAGCAAGTTTTCAGAGCCACATAGAAACATGCGTCTCAAATTAAACACAGGTGCAAGAGTAAAAAAACTTTAATGACTACATTCTTTAAATATTTACCATGTTCATTCCAAGTGTGCTCTTTAGAGATGACAACCAAGGCTGGACTGAAGTATTTTCACCCTAAGCTTTCCAAAGTTCTATCTGATTTATAACAATATATTTTTGGCAGTACTGGTGTTTGAACTCAGGGTCTCACACTTGCTAGGCAGGTGCTGCCACTTGAGCCATTCCTCCAGCCCATGATTTATAACAAAATTTTATGTAGGTATTTTAATACCGGCCATCAGTATTTCATGGCATTAAAACAAAGGCAAACCTGACTGTCCATAGAGATATTTACCTAAGTAAGTTTGAGAGTCATTAAATGGCCAGAATGGATTAGAGGAAAGAAAACCAAATATGAAATTCAGTATAAACTAAAACCAACACTTGCAAATAGGAAGCTATAAGGTTTACGTGTACAAGATAGAGCAGAGCAGTGCTGCAGACAACTCAGTGGATTATTTCTGATGGTGGAAACTGTAAAAAGGAGGTGTTACTTCTTAAAGACAAACCCAGAACACATATAAATAACACCCCATGATGAATCTCTTCCTTGTGATTGCCAGTACTTGATGTAACTTTTTATCTAATTCCTGTGTATCACAGCTGTGGACAGAGACCAGCTTAGTAGAAGGCCCTGCTAAAGAGAACCAGGGAAAGAGTAGTGGAGTTGAGATTAGAATCGGGTTTCTTTTCACTAAGTCACAAAAATATGTAAACCTTTGAAGACAAAAACTATCTGCCACTGTAAAGTTATTGCTGCTTAAAGTAACAATTACACTTCCCTGTGCTTTTAGGTCTAAGCTCTAGTGGAATTGAGGCTTTAATAGAATAAATGTCTTTTAATTGCCAAAAAGAAAAAAAGAAAGATAGGCAGTAATGGTAGAACTTTCTCTTGTCAGTTTTTTTCTTTTGTGCTGTGCGCTGGGGATTAAGCCAAGGGTCTTGTACATACTAGACAAACACTGTGACACTGAACTATATCCCTATCCTCTAACTTGGGAAATCTTATCTTGACATCAAGGTACCACCTAATAATATAAATGAAATAGTATACAACAGTATACTACCTTTCTCAACTTGAATGACTATAGATAATTGGAATAAGATTTTAAAAACTTTTTTTCTTTTTCCAGTTCAATTTCAAATAAATGAGTTAACTACTATAGGGCCCAATTTTTATTGGCCTGCAGTAACTACACATGGATAGGAATGCTTTTCAGTAATCTCCCCCACAAACAGAATTTTCGTTTCCATGAGGTTATAAATATGCTCCTCATTGTATGAAAATTCATCATAAAATCTCACATCCTGGGGGCTTAAAACATAAAGAGTATTCGTGTATGTGGGATGTTCCGTGGGTCGTTAACATCCCACAGGCCAAACAGCCCTCTCGAAAGCGACTCTGAAGGTAAAGGGTTTCCCATGGGTTGTGCGTTTGTGTGTCTTGAGTGTGCGAGAGGAGAGCGACTAGCAGAGGAAAGTCGCGTAGGATGGTTGTGTGAGCAGGGTGGTGTGTAATACTAAAAAAAAAAAAAAAAAAAAAAAGGCTGCTGGTGGAGGAAGGGCTGCAGTTGATTCTCCAAAGCTAAGATGCTTCTACGAGGTGGGACGGCTGGGAAACAAGGTCCAGGGCGGCAAAATTACAAAGGGGAGAACAAGTGATTGCTGGATTCCTAATGCTTGGTATGGAGGAAACATTCGCCTAGAGTGTGAATGAATGATGGAACGCAGGTAAGCGCCTGCCTGGAGGTCCTGCCGGGAACGCGGGGATGGGGGTTGGGGTTAAAGAAAACCGAGGGATCGTCCGGGCCTTGGTGCCAGAAGTAGGGGAGATGGCTGCGGGATTCGTAAAGGCACTGACCAGAGAGAACTCGGTGCCGGGCCAGTTGACTCGGAAAGGGATATCATCGCTGAGCTGGGGAAGCGCTCGGCCGCCGCCAGACGCCTCCAGGAGACCGCAAAGGACCAGTAACACCGGCCCCCCCGGGACCAGACTCCGCACGCCGCCGTCTCCTTCCTCCATCCTCCGCCGCCGCTTTCTCCAGCCGCCGCCACAACCTCCTCTGCTCTCAGAAGAGACGAGGAGGAGGAGGAGGAGGAGGCGGCGGCGGCGGGACTACAAAGCGTCCCGGGAGCAGGGGACCCAACCGCCGCCACGTCTCCTTCCGGAGAGCCCGGCAAAGCGGTCTCCGCCCCCTCAGGCCTCCCGCCACCACTTCCGGGGTAGGCGGCATATCAACATCCGGGGTCACAGCGCCATCCGCCTACGGAAGCCGGGACGCCGCGTTTTCTCTGGTTTGCGGCAACTTTAGCCCAGCGGTGGGAATTAGATGCGATGGGCTTCTTGGAAGACCCACTGTCGGAGTAGGCTTTTCGGCCGAGAAGTGTCCGCGCGGCGAACCGGTGAGTTGTCTAGGCGCCAGCCGCTCGGTCTCTGGTAGGGTGAGCGGCGGCTTGGCCCGCGTCGCCCTGAGAACGGGAAGTGAGAAGAGGCAGTGGCTGAGTTTCCTGCTGACCTGCCTCTCCACTGCTTTCTTTGAAGCTTTTCTTCGCTATTTTTCGCAGCTCCTGGCTGACGCAGGGCGATTGGCCAGCTCTGTCTGCCCGTGTCTGGGAACCCGGAGTGAGGACCTCCGTCCCCGGTGTAAGGACACCGCGGCCCTGCAGGCCAGCCTGGCTGGACCCGGCGTTTTCGCCTCCCACGTCCGCGTTTGCGTTTGGTGGAGGAAGCTGGTAAGTTTCGTTACGTGCGGGTCAGGGCCGGGTGTCAGCACATGAACTTAGTCAGTCTGACTGCATTCCAAAATTAGAACGATTTGCTGTCTTCTCTTTTTTTAAAAAAAGGTAATTACTTGTTTTAATTTTCAGTATAACAGGCTATACAGTGTTTGCTGTAGAACACTTATTCTTGTAGAGGTGGGAGAAGCTCGATTGTCTTGCTGTATATGCTAGAGACTGATAGTTAACATTTATTTTGCATTTACTCTGTGCTAATCACTACTATAAACACTTTTTATGTATTATGTCATAGCCAGTATGAGGCAGGTACTGTTGATAATACAGTAGGATTATACAGTGAGGAACTCTGGGGTTGGTTAGAAAAGACCTCCCAGGAGAGGTGACACTAGAACTGGAGTTTTAAGGATTTATAGGCGTTCATCAAGCAGGTGGGGAAATAGATTTTAACATAATCTTTTAGTGGTCCATTAGAGCTTTGTGGTGTGGTCAGAGGGCAGGGGGGGATGGAGTCCGCAGCAGGAGACTGGGTTGGAGAGGAAGAGGGTCAGTTCAGAGAAGGCTGATATGTCTTGCAGAAGTGTGAGCTTTGTCCAGTGTACACTCTGCATTGCAGTCACCTGAAGCGATGCCTGTTTTTCAAGTATACAAAGATGAATTAGAAATGGATTAAATATTTGAGTGGACAAAAGCTTAATATGAGAAAATTTTGGAGTGTACAAAAGTTTAATATGAGAAAAATTAGGGTAGGAAGTGAATAATCTTGGCTTTAAGATGGGAAATCCTAAAATTGTGAAGGAATGGGGAAATGCTGCAAAGAACTGGGTTTATGAGAAAAGGAATACCTGCAGGATGTGTTGCTTTTGGTAGGTTGTTAGGATTGGCTTCTGTGAGGAGGTGACACTTGAACTTTGATTTGAATAATGACAAGGAAGCTACACAGAAATTTCCAGGCAGAGGCCTGAGGCAGGGATAAGGTGGATGTGATGGAGGTACAGAGAGGCCAGTGTAGCTGGAGTATGAGAGGACTGGGGCAGGAGGTGAAGTTATTAGTAGAGGGCAGCTGGAGTTGCCTTTTAGGCAGGAGAGCCATGTGACCTGATTACATGTGTGAATATTATAACTGTTGTGTGGAAATTGATGATTGTGTATTGAATTGTGTTCCTTCCAAAATATGTTGACATTCCAACCTCCAGAAGTTTAGTGTGAACTTACATGGAAATAGGATGTTTATATAATGTAATTAAAGTTAAGATGAGGTCATACTGAATTGGAGTGGGTCCTAATAAAAAGACTGGGTCTATGACTAGAAACTTTGGACACAGACCAATTTCTGACTCAAATATCAAAGGGGAACTAACAAGTTGGTAAATAAGTCTGAAGCTTAGGGACCAGACAAGTCAGAGCTGAAGTTAAAAATTTGTGTAGTGGCATATACATATAGTTAGTCATGGTACTGACTGAGACTATCTAAGGGAAAAATGAGGATAAAGAAGGGAAGACAAAGGTTATTGAGTATCTGAATAGCAGTGAAGAGTTAACAAAATGGACTGAGAGGGTGTGCCCAGCTAAGCAGACAGAAACATTAAGGAACATTAAGAGAAATAAGTGTTTCATGCAGGAGGGAAGTGAACAACTCACTGGGTGAGATGTTGTTGAGAAGATGAGGATAAGTAAGTGGCAACTGGTGTAGTAACTGGAACTGGTGTAGCAACATGGAACATGGAACTCAGATCCAATGGATCTGAGTTGGATTGACTGAAATGGAGGACTTTCTACGGTATATATTAATAAAATGGTTTTGCATTTTAGCAGAATTTAGAACAGGGTTTCTCCACCTTGGAACTATTGATAGTATGGGTTGGTTGGCCCTTTGGTGTGGAGTGCTATCCTGTGCATTGTGTGACATTTAGTAGGATCCCCTACTTGTGTGTCTACTGCATGCTAGTAGCAACCCTGTTTTCCCCACCCTCCAGTTTGTGACACCAAAATGCCTGCACACATCTAGAAATGTCCCCTGGCAGGCAAAACGGCCCATGGTTGAGAACCACTGGTTCAGACTCTTAAGTAAAAGACATGAGTATTAATGGTGACTTTTTAGACATTAGCTCACTGATTGGAAAAATGTTCAGGGACAAACGGGGAACCTTTGTGGCACTCCAAAAAATTTGCATTGTTGTAAATAACCTACTTTACCTTTAATGTAACTAGTTCTGTTTATAATTCTATCTTTTAATCATTATGCATGTCAGCTATTGCAGAGAATTTTAGATTAAAGATGTAAAGATGCTGGGTGCCAGTGACTCACGCCTGTAAGCCTAGCTACTTGGGAGGCAAGATCAGGAGGGTGGAGATGCAAGGCCATCCCTGGTGAATGGTTTGCCAGACCCGCATCTCCAAATAACCGCAGCAAAATGCACTGGAGGTATGGCTTAAATGGTAGAGCACCTGCTTTGCAAGTGCAAAGCCCTGAGTTCTAACCCTGGTCCCACCAAAAAAAAAAAAAAGAGGTGTAGAAAATCGTCCTTAATTTGCAATTAGCCTTGACTCACAGCCTAGAATACTATTACTCCCACCCCCACTGTGGTACTAGGGTTTGAACCAGGGCCTACACCTTGAGCCACTCCACCAACCCTTTTTAGTGATGTTTTTTTTGAGATAGGGTCTCCTGAGTGATTTGCCTGGGGCTGGCTTCTAACTGTGATTCTCCTGATCTCTGCCTGCTGAGTAGCTAGGATTACAGGCGTGGGCCACTGGTGCCCAGAATGGCTTCAAAATTGTTACTTTGAGAAGAGTATTACTTCATTTAGTAGTCTCTTATAATTTTAACTTTCTAATTCATAGATTCTGTATAAATTCCCCTTTATTTGGCAAAGGCACATTTCTGTAGATGATGGAGTTAGTCTTAACGCAGGTGGAGACAGGAGGACACAGAGACCCAGTCTGAAAAACAACCTGAAAGCAAAAGGACTGGGAGCATGGATCAAGTGGTAGAGCTCCTGCCTAGCAAATGTGAAGCCAAGTTCAATCCCCAGAACCTAGAAAAAAAAGAAGAAAAAAAGGTTTTCACACTGCTTAAGAATGTTGTGACATTTATTGTAAATTAAAGGACTTAATATTGGAACTTAATATTAGAACTTAATATAGGAAAGGCAAGCTACACTTTGTATGTATTGTGAAGCTACTGTCCATTTTCTCCAAAAGCCTTTAAATTGCTATGAGTATTTTAAACATCCATTTTTTCTTCTTTTTGTTTATCCTGTTTTGACCATTGTCCAGTAATGTGGGAGAAAAAAACATTGTAGTTGGAAACGAGGAATTCTGTTTTTAGTATAAGTATACTAAGTTTTTATGCTTGTGTAGGGCAACCGGAGATGCCTTCATGTGTCAAACAGAGAGTTGTAAAGAATTTGAGAGATTAGAATTTAAGTAAAAACTGGTAATCGAAGCCTCAGATTTGATGAATGTGTGTATTTGATAAGGAACAAAATGTTGTAAATGGATATACAATGAGATAGTCTGTTTGGCCTTAGTATCACTAAGTAATAATGTAAGTGATACCATGCAGAGTCACTAGTGTCTGATGTGATTAAAAAGAAGAAAATAAGAGCTGTAATCCTATCTACTGACTCAGAGCCAGTCCCGGGGAAATAGTTTGAGAGAACCTAGCAGGAAGTAGTGTGAGTCCCTGAGTTCAAACCCCAGTGCTGCAAAAAAATAAAAACCAAACCAAACCAAACCAAAAAAACCCCCAGAAACACTTAGCAATCTTTGGGTAAAATCAGAAAGTGGTCATTGGAAATGTGAGACCACAGTAATTGGGTGCAGTAGTGTAACAGTAAAGTTGGATTGGAGAAGCATTAAGATGAGCTGATAAAGAAGTGGAACACTGTGTGGTTAAAAAATTTCTATGAAGGATATGAAACACGAAATAATAGCAATCATAGGGTTAAGTGGTAATTTTTCTGTTAAGAGATTGTGTGTATGCATATCATTTATAAGGAAGAGGTTCAATGTAATTAGAATTACCAAGAAAGTGATTGTGAAAGTGTAATATTTAGAAAGGCAAAAATGAGTCTTTTCCTTTTTTTGGTGGAAGCTACTGGGGATTGAACTCAGGGCCTTGAGCTTGCTAGGCAGCCACTCTAACTTGAGCCATGCCCCCAGCCTGCAAAATGGATCTTAAAAATGAAAAAAAATTCTGAAATTCAAGGAACGCTAAAGACAGTTTTTATTATGTAAATTTGACATATGGAAGAATATTTTTAGTAGTTGTATCCTTGAAATTCTTTGACAGATTAGCCACAGTATTAAAAATCATGACACTAATCTTAGGAGTACTAAATGTATGTATAGGGTGAGTTCAAGGTTTTATGAATGCATGGAAAAGATTGCTAAAAGCTGAACAAACTAATAGAAAATGTAGCCACACTTTTGTGGGAAATCTAGGCATGAGGAACATTAGAGGTTTTTTTTTTTTTTTGGTGGTATGGGATTTGAACTCAGGCCCTCACTCTTGCTAGGTAGGCTTCTACCTAGAGCATTAGGCCACACACCCACCCCTTTTCTCCTTTATTTTTTGGATGGTGTCTTAGGTTTTTGCTAGGGGCTGGCTTCTAACTGCAGTCCTTCTAATTTCTGCCTCCTGAGTAAGTGGGATTATAAGTGTGTACCACCACGCTCAGCATTTTTTGGGCTTTTGAGACAGGGTCTCCCTCTGTAGTCTAGGCTAGCCTTGAACTTTTTAATCCTCCTACCCCAGCCTCACAAGTGTAGGGATAATAGGCATGTGTCACTACTTCTGGCTGATAGGTGTATTTTAGGCTGATAGGTAAGAAAAGGGAATTTTAAAGCATGGTTATTATACAACTGAATTGAAAGAATCAGTGATAGTAAATAAGGGGAATACAATGGTTATATTGACACAACTCCTCAGAATGTAGAGCTAGGGATTTACACATTGAAAGAGTATTTGCCTAAGTTACAATTTAAAAAACATGTACTGTGGAAAAGAAAAATTAATATAATGGAAATAAATGTTGATTGCAAAATTTGAAAAATACCTGATAGACCAAATATGGTTCTTAAACTGTAGTGATGCTTGTAATCAACATGAATCTTGAATGTTCAACCCATGGTACTCTCTATATAAACTTTAATGTTAGATAATATTTATTGAGCATTGCCAGGCACTGTGTAATACTTTACATATATTAAACTTTGGTGGGTACTTTCAATACATGTAATATACATTTCAGGAACTTCATTAGTAGAAAATTAATTTTTTTCTCATTTAAGATGAGATGCATATCAGTAGATAGTGTTCAAACTTTTAAGATCACATTCATGCTTTCAGACAGAGTTGATATCACAATCTTTTCAGTAACTCTTTAGGTATGGAAGTGGTATTTAGATGGTACTTACAATGCTTAGTAAAGACTGAAGAGTGAATGTGTTGTTTGGAATAGAGAAAAATAACTGTAATAGTGATTTAGAACAGGAGGAGAAAGAACTACTTAAAAAAATCCACTCCAAGCTGAGCAAGGTGGTACATATCTGTAATCCCAGCACCCTGGAGATTGAGGCAGGAGAATTTCAAGGTTGAGGCTAGCCTGGGTTACACAGCAAGTTCAAGGCTAGTCTAGGCTACATAGTAAGACCTTGTCTCAAAAAATTTTTTCTTTTCTAAATACAGGGTTTCCACTGATAGTTTTCTTGAATTCCTAAAACTTAACACCTAATATTTCTGAGGAATGAGAACCTGAGTTTGAGTGTTTGTGTGATTGTAAGGACAGAATGAAAGAAAGTGTTTTGAAATTGAGATCTGAAGGCTGTAAAGACTTGCACCTTTGTAACTGTACTGGAGTGTGGTTTTCCTTAATTTCTCCATTTCAGTCAGGTTCCTCCCCACACTATTGACAATAAATATAGCTGCTTGGGTTGGTTAGGCTATTTACTTTTTTTGGCAGTACTGGGATTTGAACTCAGGGCCTATTTGAGCCACTCCACCAGCCTTCCTGGGCTCTTTAGAACCTGGCCTTCCTGTGAATGTTGAAGGTATATCATGAATGTATAAATTTTTCTAGTCTAACTTCTAAAAACCTGGAAAGACATATAAATGGAGATCCTAAAGTAATCCCTGTTGGAGCTTTGTAACCTAATTATATATATTAAATGATAGAACCACTTTCAGGAGTCCCAAACACTTTGGGACCTTGATTTCTTTGTAAAGTGAAATGCTTTGAATTGCCCTATGTGATTCTGAACTGTAATCTGTCAATCTTGGTTAAGTTGATTATATTCAGAGCAGATACCCATCTGTCAAAATTAGCTTTTTTTTGTGGGGGGTCTGTAGTCCATGCTGGCAGTGAATTTGAGTCTAGGGCTACAGGCATGCTACACCATGCCCAGCTAACTTTGAACATATATTTATGTATGGAACTACATACTGTGTCTTCGTACAAAACCATTAAATCTATTTACCTGCTGGGGAAAAGATGGAGGGTAGTGAAAATGGTTAAGTTCAGGTAGATTGCAAGATACTTATGCTTTAGAGACAGAGACTTGGATCTCTGCCACTTGTTAGATGGGTAATGGTGTGCAAGTTACTATGGAAATACGCTTAGAGGAGTTCTTCAGAAAGTGAGAATGTACATGCCTCCCTATGCAAAGTGCCTCAAACATTCTTACAAGATACTCATTAATAAATGTTAATATGCTTTCTGTAGTACCAAACAAAATGTCTTCTGGAAAACAAAAGTTGCTTTAAATGTTGGTAAATATTTAAAGTAGTTATATAGCTGAGTAAATTTACTAAGGGGCTTATAAATAGAAAAATGGACAACTATTCCTACTATGTAGGAGTTTTATGTGAGAAACTTCTGTATTATTAGTCATTTGTGGGCTGAGGAGTTTTTTAACAAGTTGAATATTAGACTTAACATGATACTGAAATTCTTTTCATATTCAAAGATTATAGAGCCAGGTGCTGGTGGCTCATGCCTATATTCCTTGCTACTCAGGAGGCAGAGATCAGGAGAATTGTGGTTGGAAGCCAGCCCAGGCAAATAGTCCCTGAGACCCTATCTTGAAAAAACTCATCCTCCGCCCCCCCCCCCCCCAGAGTGGCTAGAGTGGCTTAAGTGGTAAAAGAGTGTCTGCCTAGCAAGTGTGAGGCCCTGAGTTCAAACCCCAGTATTCCCCCTAACCCCCCCGCAAAAAAAAAAATTGTTGAGAGACTTTATATTGAGAAAGAAATAACCTGTAATCAGGAATAATCTGATTGGCTTGAATCAAGGCTAACTCTACTTAAGTTAGTAATTTATGTATTAGTTTTCTGCTTTAGTAGCAGCTGCATAAACAGTTGATATTATTTGGGTGAAAAGATGTAAGAAAGAAAAGGGTAGAGCCACTTCTTTGTTTGACAAATTATAATTCCAAAAGCTAGCTGTTTGAAAACAAACTTTTATTATATGTTTCCACTATGTGTAATTATCAGAGAGCCTATTTTTAAACTATAATGTAAATACAGAGTGCACACCATTATCATTAGTGGATGTGATGTTATAATGTAACTTGTGTTCTTTAGCATGAGTTTTATTTTTATGTAGTAAAATGTGTGGGTTTTTTTTTTTTTTCAAAAGAGGAGAGGTATAGCACAGTATAATTCCAAGGGAATTTTTAGATTAAAAAAAAAAGCCAATTTCTTTTTTGGATTTTTTTTTCTTTGTGGTTCTGGGGTTTGAGCTCAGGGCCTATACCTTGAGCCACCCCATCAGCCCTCTTTTGGGATGGGTATTTTTGAGATAGGGTCTTGGGAAGTATTTGCTGGTTTTGAACTGTGATCCTCCTGATCTCCGGCACCCTGTTCTTTTGGATTTTTGATACAGGGTTATGCTGTGTAGGGCAGGCTGGCCTCAAACTTCAGTGGTGGGATTACAGGTGTGCACCATCACATCCAGGCAAAAATCAGCTTCTTGTGCTAGGGGTATGGCTTAAGTAGTAGAGCGCCTGCCTAGCAAGCCCAAGGCCCTGTTTAACCCAATACAACCCCTCCACACCTAAAGAAACTGTAAAAAAATCAATTTGTTTTGGCCTAAATTTGAAAGATCTCATTTAATTCCTGAATAACAAGGAAATTCACAATCAAGGCTGAAATCTTATCTATATTACTCCATCTTTCTAATCACACATTATTTTAAGCTTGTGTATCTTAAACCATGGTTATAGAATTATTTTATAGGAATATATTAAAGGTATTTTCTTATTATATGTATTGGACTTTTGATTTAATTCTCTTTAACTTTAAAATAGCATTGTGAGATGAAACAGTATAATTACTTTTACTCTGATAAAAACGAGCTAAATTGAGACCTCTGTGTATTTCTAAAGAACTCCTAATGAGCAAGTGCTAAATATAGTTAGGAAATCATGTTATTAAAACTGGAATTTCTTCTTTTGCTCTATGCTAATCTTCTGAATATATGTTTCAGGACATTTAGATGATGCCTCAACTACAACACTAAAAATAACAATATCTTCAGGTAAACACATTTCCAAAACATTGCCATTGTGCACAGAAGTTACTATCTGAAGACTAAAAGCTGCTTGTTTAGGAAAGTCAATGGCTAGGTCTTTGTATGTAAAAGTGAGGTACTATTTTTCTTCTAAACGTTCCTTTACTAATTTTTCCAAAGAGAAAAGATGCTCATCTGCCTCTTCTGGTACAAGGTTTCTAATAGAGTTTGCAAGTTCAAAAAGATACTCTGTATTTCTTCCACTTGGACCAGCTGCATTAAAAATTTGTTCGGCAATGTCTTCCAGAGGTGCGGGACCAAGGTAATTAGGATTATCACATGTTCCAATGTATAGCAACACACTGAATGGCTTTGTTGTGGGATCTTTTGGATAAAAAATGACTGTTATGGTTCGGTAGCCTCCTTTCTCTCTGAAGTCAAGGTATGTTTTTACTTCTTCTTCTTTTCCTACTGGCAGTTTGTAAGCAACACCCCATACACAACCCTGTTGAAAAATGAAAATACACTCTTTAGTATTTTTAAGGCTAATCAAAACAGGTGAAACATGTTAGGACCTGAGAGATAAGGTCTGAGAAGTCAAATGCAGCTTTGCTTCACTTAGAGTACACTGAAGAGGTATATACTAAAGGAAATCAGCATTTGAAGATCTTCATGGTGAACAGATAACCTCTTTGCATGGGGACAGTATGATACTATTTTCAACTTTTTTTTTTTTTTGCTTTAGTTATTTTTTGGGACAGGCTCTTTTTGTACAGGTCATCCTGGACTGTGGTCCTCATATTTGTGTTTCCTGTGTAGCTGGGGTAACAAGCATGTACCACCATGCCCAGCTGTTAATTGAAAAGGGATCCAAAAAAGTAGCTTTTTGCCCAGGCTGGCTTCAAATCTCAATCTTCCTAATTTCCGCCTCTTCCTAATCTTCTTCTGAGTAACTAAAATTACAGATGTGAGCCATCATGCCCAGATAGCAATTTTTTAAGTTAGGTCTTAAAAAAAAAAAAAAAGTAATAAGACTGACCCAGGTGTGGTACACACATGTAATCTAAGAACTTGAGAGGCAGAGGCAGGAGGATCACCAGTTTGAGACTGGGCTGGGCTATGTAGTAAGACCCTGTCTCAACAAAACCAAAGTAAAACCAAACAAAACACTAATGGGATTGAAATGAAAAATAATCAGGTTTTCATCTGGTCATTAAGAAATTCTATAGAAGCTGGACTCACACCTGTAATCCTAGCTACTCAGGAGGCAGTGATCTGGAGGATCCTGGTTAGAGGCCAGCCCAGGCAAAAAGTGGGACCTGATCTCAAAAAATCACACACACACACACACACGATCTCAAAAAATCACACACACAGCTGTTGGAGTATCAAGTGGTAGAGTGCCTGCCCAGCAAGTATGAGCCTCTAAGTTCAAACCCCTGTAACTGCTTAAAAAAATTCTATAGAAACTAAGTGCAGTTTGTTTATTAACTGTTGATTAGGAGTTAATAGTTAACAGTTTGAAGCTATAGTGGTTTTCCTTGTGTAAATTCTGGAAAGCATTTTGTGATTTACACTATTATAAGTCTTACTACTAACTGCTTATTTTTTTTGGGTAGGGGTCAGTGTCTTGCTAAGTAGCTCAGGCTGACCTCTTAAATCCCCATCCTAAATGGCCATACTCCTGCTTGAGAGTGCTGACATTACAGGTAAGAGCCACTTCACCTAGTGTGGCTTGATTTTTGTACAAAGTCCTTTACAAAGTTAAATACCTAATTTCACAATACAAAAATCTGAAAATGTATACCAGTAAAAATGATTAAAAAAATTTAAGAAACTAAATCTATCAGTTAAATAAGTTTTTTGTGCTCCAAATCTGTGTGTTTAAAAAACACAGGTTCTGTTTTTAACATTAGGCAATACAGAAAGTAAGAATTACCTAGTTTTCTACTGAAAATACTGGATTCCTAGCAAATGTGAAGAAAGCCTTCAGGGTTCTATTTGATTCTTAGTGGCAGCATGGCTCTGAGAGACTGTCTCCATTAATGTCAAAGGGGATCACAAAGTTCTCACTCAACAAACTCATTTAAAAAAATCCACAAAAAGGAGACTATGTCATTTGGATGTGTTTTGTTGTTACCTTATACTCTATATTCTAACTTTTGACCCCATTTTCCAAAAACAAAAAAAAAAAACCATCCCACAATAAATAACAAAGAACAGTCCTAGACCTAGAACTATGGTTCAAATTGTGTGTGATGACTGATAGTAAAATTTTGTGAATATTAAAATTTAATAACACCAACATTTCATATGATTAAAGACTATGTAAAAAAGAATAATTATACCATACCCCAGGATCTTCAACAAGAGTCACAACTCTTCCAGGCTATTTTGAAAAAGGTAAAAAAGAAAACAAAATTTTTTTTCTGAATTAAGTAATTTTTTTTCTGCATTAAGTTTATTAAGTAACTAACTGGACATTAGCAACTTTATCCATATTTGCTCTAAGAAACACTTTTTGATAAAGGCTTTTTAAAAGAGCTCCAACTTATGCATGCTAAGTTATATATTCATTTCCATCAATTTGTATACATTAGAGTATGTTCATTAAAATAGATATTAAGTAACTAAGGTTCATCTAGAGTGACAGGCAAATGGAAGCAGCAATTGTGAGTCAGGGGCCAGTGGCTCATGCCTGTAATCCTCACTACTTGGGAGGCTGAGATTAAGAGGATCATGGTTTCATGCCACCCTGGGCAATAGTTTGAGAGACCCTATCTCCAACATAACAGAGCAAAATGGACTGGGAAGTGTGAAGCCCTGAGTTCAAACCCCAGCCCTCCCCACTCCCCAAAAGAAAGCCCACAAAAAAAGTAAAAGCTGGTTTTCCCTTTGGGAAAAAAGATTGTTACACTTTTATTAGGGAAAAATATGCCGTACCAGGGTGCTTTTCTTAAGGAAGTGGCTTTAAGCTTTGATAAAATTACCTGTAGGACTTGATAAACATTGATAGGTTACACCTCTAGAGTTGCTTATTCTATATGAGTTTGGAACAGCATCTGAGGTGGTTCCAGAGAAACTGTTTTGGGGTTTGTATATTGAGAAGCACTGCTACTAGATGTACACTAAGGTCTTAGAGTGAATGTGTGATTTGCACTTCTGAGCTACAAAGTGCTTTTACCTTTCTGTATATGGCAATGGGTGCTTCAAGGTACATGTCATTTTACACTCATAAATAACCTGTACTTTGCTCTATTGAGAACTTTTCTATTCAGATAGTTTATTTTACACATGGTGAGACTGCCAGGTGGCAGAACTACATCAGGCCAAGTGTTTGAGTTTAGCAGAGGGTCCTGCATGTTAGGTAGGTGATTCAGAACAATGATTGGAGAAATAGTCAAATTTGAAAAGCTAAAGAGGAGAGTGGATGGCTAAAGGTATAGCTCAGTGGTAGAGCACTTATTTACCTAGCATGTTTAGAGGCCCGGGGTTTGGAAATAAAACAAAGCACAAAAACAAGGCAGTGTTGAAATTAAGGGGACAATGAAAATAAGCCACTGAAAATTTGGGAGAAATTGGAATTGAACTACTGGAGCATTTGGGCAGCAGGTGACTGGTATGATAAAGGAGATTTTAGAAAGACCAATTTGGTAAAGTATGTATTGTGCAAGTTAGAGAGGAAGGAAGATGATACATAGCAAGAAATGTGACAGATACCATCCTCTACATCCCTTGTCTCCCCTTACATCCAACCCAATCACAGTTCTTTTTTTTTTTTTTTTGGTGGTACTGGGGATTTGAAGTCAGGACCTCCAGCTCTACCAATTGAGCCACCCTCTAGTCCTTTTTGCTGTAATTATTTTTCAGATAGGGTCTGGTGTTTTTCTTTGGGGCTGGCCTTCGGCTGTGATTCTTCTATCAATGCCTTCCACATAGCTGGAATTACAGCTGCCAGCCACCATATCCAACTTATTTATAGGAAGGGGTGGGGGGGTGGTTCACTGACTTTTTGACTGGACTGGCCTCAAACTGTGGTCTTCTTGATCTCTGCTTCCCAAATAGCTGGGATTGTAAGCCTGAGCTACTATGCCTGGCCCAAGTCACAATTCTGTCTTCTGAGTATCTTTACAATCTAGTTCTTCTACATCCTTCAGTCATCTTAGAGATTTCTTTGCCTTGCTTCTAATTCTGCTTCCCTACAGTCTGTTCTCTACTTAGTCTCTACTGAGTGATATTTCACAGGGTAAAAATTCCTTACCCTGACTTAACTGCAAGCCTTGTTTCTTTCTACTTTTCCCCCAAGATGTACTGGATTATTTATAACTCTTACAACTGTTCATATCTTTGAATGTAGTGATGCTTATTGTGCAGTGCCCTGCTTCTTTTGTTTACTTGGCTTATTGTCTGGTCATCCCCTCCATAAAGCTTCAGCTCACTCACCAAGCAGATTTAGCACCTCCTTCTAACTTCACTGTTCCCTTTATTCACTTCCCTTAGTACACTTCCCAAGTATTTTTGTTTGCATAGGTGTTCCTACTACATGTTCAGTTTTAATTGTTGAAAGAAGAGTAGTGAATTTATAGTAGTGAGTGGTGACGGTTGAGACATCTACTTAAAATGATTTGTGGGGTCATTTTAAGTAGAAATGAATGGAATACTGAGACTGCTAACGGATGATATAGACATGGACTACTGACACTACCGATACATTTACTTAGAAATCTTTTCTAAAACGTAAGCTTTCACCCCTGAAATAAATGTTATTGAGAAAGAGTGTAAATTTGTAAGTGCACTTTAAATGCTTTTTTTTTGAAAGGGGGCAATGAAACTCAAGAAAGGGTCTTCCAAGCTGAATGGATTTGGAAGGTGTTGGGAAACGAGTCATGATGGGTGTTTCTGATCTGGCAAAGTTAGTTTCGGTAAATGTTCTTGATTGTCTCATATTAAAATACTTCCTTTTCTTGAAGTTGTAATATATTATTTGTGGGGAAAAAACCTTTACAGTTAAATAAGATGCTTATTTTGGTGAGAAACTGCCACTTTTGTGATAGGTGCTTTAACTTATGTAATAGTTTAATGAAGCTAAAACGCAAGCATAATTTAATAAAGCAAGTATTCAGTATTTTTCCCACTGCAGTATGTGGAAATGAGCCTAATATTTTGTATATTTGTGTTATTAATGATGAAGCTTTTCTAATGACTAACTTACTGGGGTATATGTTGAAAAACACATAGTTTGTGTCCTGAATAGTATTTTAAGCCATTCTAACTTCCTGGATATTTCTGTAGCTTTTCCTATTCTTGCCAGAGTTAACATTTATATAAGGCTGGCAACCCAAACCCATTTTAATAAAAAATGTGAAGTAAAATCATGATGTTCTAATTTTCTTTTTTTAACTGAACACTATTAGACTTAAAAAATGTTTAGTCCTTAGATTTTCCTTTAATTTGCTAGAATGGATTTTTTTTAAAAAATGAAAGCTGTAAAAGACGTTGGGCAATGCAGCCCCCTCCACTTTCCCTCCCTTTTATATTGCAGTAAATTTAAATACAAAGAGATCCTGACTTTTATAGCTCCCTTCTATTTCTTTTGATGGAACTGGGGTTTGATTCAAGACTTCTTTCTTGCAAAGCAGGCACTCTACCGCTTAAGCCACACCTCTAGTCCATTTTGCTGTTTGCTCTGGTTATATTGGAGATGGAGGTCTCATGAATATTTGCCTGGGCTGGCCTCAAACTGAGATCCTCCTGATCTCAGCTTCCCAAGAAGCTGGGATTACAGGTTTGAGCCACAGTGCCTGGCTCTCTTCTACTCTTTTTCAAATTTAAATCAGTGAAACTCTGGCAGAATGCAGCAACAGCTTAACTGCTAAAAAGCTGCCTTCGCTGTGCTGTCCGTGGAGACGTGAAGATGCCTTTTCCCATCTCTTATCAGTGGTGCTGAGATGGGCCATCCAGAGCAAGCTGTGTGCCCTCCGCCTCCCCGACAAGACCCACCCGCGTCCTAACGCGGCTTCAGGACGCCCCGCACCGGGACAGGCGCCGGGAAGACGCACACTGCGGTGTTACTCGGCCCGCAATTCGGACCGGGAGCGCTCCGTGGGCAGTGTGCTGAACCTGCAGGCGGCTTACCTTGCCGGGGACCCCGCGGTGGTCGGTGCTGCCTTGCCAGAAACGCCTGCTGTAGTCTGTGATGTACCCGACAACCTTGTCTTGATAGGGAAAGTCCACCTTCCAGATCAGGGACCCGTAGCCAAACACCCACATCTTTCCCACTGCTCTGCCCGGGCTGCGCGGACTCCCCCCATCCAACCGCGCCGCCGGGACTGTGGTCTCCGGGACGCAAGTAACCGGCTGCTAGGGGCGCAGGCGCGATAGCCACCGCGAATCGGCGCGCAAGGCATACTGGGGTTGTAGTCCCAGGAACGCTTTCCCACTCCGTTTTCGTCAGCGTTGTTTTATTTCCTTGCTTGAGGGATTAAGTACCATTGACCTCTGTGTATCAACCAATAGTTTTCCTCAGCTGTGGAAAGTCACGGTAACCTTCTCTAAATGCGCGTGTGCAGAGCACTACATTTCCCACAATCCCCTTCGGAGGAGTGCGGCTGTAAAGATGAAACTTTTTTTTTTCTAGCTAGGTGGTGGGCGGGTGGGGAGAGAAAGGGCAGATCCTTGGCTGGCGCTGTGTAGATAGGTAGACACGCACCGGCACCCCAGCCATCTTGTGCTTCAACAGTTGGGTGTCTGCCCACATTACATAAGCCCCAGGAGCGCGAGCTGGAAATCTAATCCATATCGGCCCCTTTACCTTTCAATTACAAGCAGAAAATTTACAATAGAACTTTCATGTATGAAAAATTCCAATGGAAATTGTTTCCAATGGAAATTATTTCAATTTTATTATTAGAACAACCGTGTTCATCGTTGGTGTCCTCTGTAGCTCACCCAAAAGAGGCAAAGGTTCTTAACTCAGGGCTCATGTTCAAGCTTTGAGAATGAGCTAAGGAATCTAATGAATTTTTATTTTTCTAGGAGAAACTTTATAGCTTTCATAAGTTTCCAAGATCATAAGAAATGTTGAGATCTGCTGGTTAGAGCTACTCCTCAAATATTCTTTAGGAAGCTTACTTGGGCCATCATGGCTGTGTCCGTAAGACACAAACCTTACCAAATGATTGTACATTCTGGAGGATTTCTACATCATGCGCTTTAGCATTGTTAGAGGAGAATGCTGAAACACCCAGGTTCAGACAGTAGTATTTGTGTTTTTAAAAAGAAATCGAGAAATACAGCAAAGAAAAACTTAGTTTAAGAATAACCAGATCTTTTAATATTTTAAGTTGTAGCTTCCCCATTGTCTGGAATGGTTATTTTTCCCATTTTCCCCTCTCAATTTGGAAAACTTGCAAATATACAGAAAAGTTAGAAAAAAGAGGGTAGTGACCCTTCAATAACCTCCATGTAGATTATCATTGTTTTGTAATGGCTCTTTTACTTTCTTTCTTTATGCATTTTTTTTTTTTTTTGGGTGGGACTGAGGTTTGAACTCAGAACTTCATACTTGCAAAGCAGGCACTCTACCACTTGAGCCACACCTCCAGTCCGTTTTGCTCTGGTTATTATGGAGATGGGGTAGAGGGGTCTCATCAACTATTTCCCTGGGGTGGTCTGCAACCATGATCCTCCTGATCTCAGCCTCCCAAGTAGCTAGGATTGCAGGTGTGAGCCACTGGCACCCAGTTCTATACATACTTTTTGAAGTCTAAAGAATTTGAAGAAAGTTGTGTGTGTTATGACATTTTATTGCTACATACTTCTACAAGATCTTTGAAGAATAAGAACACATACTATCCACAGTGCATTTATCATAGCTAAGAAAATTAATAATAATTGTACCATCAAATAGCTATTCCATATCCAATGTTCCTTTAACTATCTCAAAATTATTTTGTTTGGAATTGATTCACCTCCTTTAATCCAAGATCAGTTGTGGTTTTTCTACCTACCTGCTTTTCTCCCACTGTCCCTTCATCCCTCTTTCCTCTCTATTTTCTTCCTGCCCTTCCTATCTATCTTTTTAAAAATACAGTACTGGGGATTGAACCCAGTGTCTTAAAGATGCTCAGCAACTACTCTACTTCTAAGCTATACCCCGTCCCCACTACCAGTTGAGTTTTATTTATCACATTTGCTTGACTCTGTACTCTCTTTTAGTTTAGAGCACAGGGACTTTTGTGAAAGAGGATATCTTATGAATAGTTTATGTTAATTATAGTGAGTAATACCAGGGATTGAAATGAATAATGGTGTTATTTTCAGCACATTTCACCTTCCCTTAAGAAACTCAAAGGTATTACCCAGTTCTAGTATCTTTTCAAGTTATCTATTATCCTGGTTCCATTAGTATCATTTGTAGCCAAGAGAAAAGCCAGTAAAAGTTATAAATGAAATCATATCTGCTTTTACTCAAATGCTGTTTTTAATGTTCTTAAAGTGGTGTTCTTGTGTTTGTGTTTTTCCTACAGAGAAAAAAGTCTTCTTGTATAAATGAACATAGTGTGTAATTTGTCCTCTTTTGTAAAACATATAATTGTTTTTGTAAAACTTTGTAATTGTTTTGTTTAGAAGTTAGCATGGTTCAAAAAATCTTCAATGCTAAAAGCTTAGCATTGAAGATCCTCCACAGTTTGTCCTAAACTTATCTCTGTAATCTCATTTTGCTACTGTTCTTTGTTTACTTACTCTTCCTTCCAAAGTGAACTGTTTCACTTATTTATTGTTCTTACTCATCCTTACTTACTTATCTCCCCCATTTTTTGGCTATGTCTTTCCTTCTGCCTAGGAATGCTCTTTTTTATTGTATAAAATAATGAGTTTACTCTTCTTTGATCCCAAGACAAGTTCAGGTTCCTCTGTTATTGATTCTCACAATTCCCATACTTTTCCTTAGATCTTGTTAGAACTTTCACTTATAAAGCCCCTTATTTGAGTAATAATTTGTTTAATTTCTGAGTTCTTCCCTAAGCTCTCTGTTGGAATAAAAATTGTTTCTATCTTGTTCTAAAAAAATGAGTTTCACTGTGACATCTTCATACATGCTTATAATGTATTTTGATCATACTCAAGCTTTCCCCTTACTTTCTTTTGTCCCCCTTCCCTAGCTCCTTTCCCTGGTCACCTTTCTCTTCTCAAATAGGCCTCCTTAAACTTTCATTAATCTACATTTTGCATATAAGAGAAAACATGCAATATTTGTCTTCAAGTATGCTTATTTTGCTTAACATGATGATCTCCAGTTCCATTTTCCTGCACATGACCTAGGCTGATTTTATAACTTGCTTATTGTAAATAGTGCTGTAATAAACATGGATGTTCCTGTTTCTCTACCATTTGCTGATTCTGATTTTTTTTGGGTGTATACTGGAAGTGGTGTAGCAAGATATATGGTAGGTAGTTCTATTTTCAGTTTTTTGAGGACTCTCCATACCAATTTCCATAGCGGGTATACCTATTTATATTCCCATTAATAGCAGTATATAAGGGCTCCTTTTCCCACATCAAGTTTGTTCTCTTGATGATAGCCATTCTGACTGGGGTGAGAAGGAATCTCAATAGTGTTTTGATTTGCATTTCCCTGTTTACTACTAAGGGTGTTTTTCATGGGTTTATTGTACATTTGTACTTCTTCTTTTGAGAACTATCTGTTCAATTCATTTGCTCACTTATTGATTGGATAATTTGTTCTTTTGGTGTTAATTTTGTTGAGTTCTTTATATATTCTGGATATTAATCTCTTGTAAGATGAATATCTGGCAAAGATTCCCATTTTTTTTAAGGTCATCTCTTGATTTTGGTAATTGTTTTCTGTGCAGAAACTTTTTAATTTATTTCAATTTCACTCATCAATTCTTTGGTGTTATGTTCTGAGCTATTGAAATCCTATTCAGAAAATCATTGGCTATGCCTATATCTTGAAGTGTTTCCCCTATGTTTTCCCATAGTAGTGTCAAAGCTTCAGGTCTTACATTAAGATCTTTGATCCATTTTCAATTGATTTTGTAGAGTGAGAGATAGGGATCCTAGTGTCAGTCTCCTATGTATGGCTATCCAGCACCATTTGCTGAAGAGGCTTTTATTTCTCCACCATATGTTTTGACTCCTTTGTTGAGAATCAGGTAGCTGAAGCTGCAGGGAAGGGTATTTCTGGGTCCACTTTTTCTATTCTATTGGTCTGTGTGTCTGTTTTTGTGCCAGTATCTGACTGTTTTTGTTATTATGGCTCTTTAGTGTAATTTGAAACCAGTTATTGTGGTACTTTCAGTATTGCTCTTTTTGCTCAGGATTAGGGATGCTTTTCTGCTCATTGACTCAGTTTTGATTCCTTCCTGTCCTGTAAGACACGACTCACATCCCTTACTGAGCTGAAGCAGATTCTTCTTTAATTTCAATGGCTCTTAATTTGTACTTCTTTTGGCACTCTCCATTTTCTATCTTGGATCATATATCATTCCTATGAGATTGTAAACTACTTGAGATAGAATCTATGTCAGTATCATCTTTGTATATTCCCCATTGCTGATGGTGCTTAGTAAATAACTGCTAATTGAATAATTAAAGTTTGGTGATATATATCTAGTAACAGAACAGGTGATACAATCAGATTGATCAATAGCTAACATTAGCTGTTTGACTTGCTATATGATGAACTTCTGCAGTTACAGCTTTGTAGAGGTGACCATGGATAAAGTTAAATTTATTAAAGGAATGTTACATGCTCTCTCCTCAAACCTTCCTTTTCTGGATAGATTACTTGCAATGTGTTTCTAGAAAGTTTTTCATGTGTTTTGGGGTAGACATGTTGGCATTTCCTGAACCACCACTTCTTAGGATCATTAGAAAATCTAAAAAGTGGGATAGAAATATTTTAAAGACTCCGTTTTAGTGATAACTGTTTCCCGAATCTCAGATCAACTTGCTTCATAGTCACTAGCAAATTGTCTTTATTAATTTCTGAGAGTCATGTGCTGAGTGCTGTACTGGACTGTGACTGCAGGGAAACTTGAAATGAACTTTTGAAGGGAAATGATGATGATGAGGGCAATAGTGCTATGAAAAATGTTCTGTGCTGGTGTAGAAAGCTAGGTTCATCTCTTTGTGGCTGCACTTTTTGGTTTCAGTATATTCATTCATGGGACAAGGATGGAGAACCGTAATGTTGAGCTCCTTCTGGAAAGGACCAGCAGAGAGAGGAAAACTAAGATAACTACTTACCTCTGTTTTTCTCAATAAACACTTCTTTTTCTTTTTGGCTTAGCCTGTTTACTATAGAGGGTTTTATGTAGAAGGTGAGCATTGCTGGTAGTTAAATGGCCCTTCTGCGTAATTGAGCGCATATTTGGGATTCACTGGAGTTTAGCTCTCTCATCAAGAGACCACCAACTAGTAAATTTTGGTG